TGATTCCGATATTATTTTTAACATTCAAGCATGTAAACGTACCATCGAATATATAGACCAATGAGTTGATGACTTCAAAGTCTTTGATTTTTTACCAAAATAAGCCAGTAAAACGTTTTATGAATATATATTCACCATCTCGGAGCGGCACCAATTTATGAATGTATCATATTGTAATTCATATTTCTGCCTTGATTTCTCCGGTAAGAGATTCAAACTCTTGCGCTTTCTGCTATATCAGGAGGTGTGTTTGATGATTCACTGTCACTATTTTTCATCATGAAAGAATTTTGGATTTTCAAGAATAGATAAGTATAGGTTACAGCGATGTGCGAGCGTTTTTTCAATATTTCCGCTCATGAGCGCAAATGCTGTCGAAGAATGACATTTCTGGGAAAACGTCAACTTTGTGTTGGAATTTGAAAGCGTCAAAGGCTACTTTGTTAAGCGGTTGTAGAAAAATGGCATTTTTCAAAGGTTAATAATATTTCGAAAACGAATATAGGAGTAGTGTTCCGGCAATTATGAGAAAATTTCGAAAATGGGATAACATACGAAGTGTTTCATAAAAAAAAATAACTTCGAGCTGTGATTCTTCTATAAAGTAGTAGGTTTTCTCCCATTGGAGCCCTCCAAATTTCGTTGCATTATACCAGGTGGTTCAAAAATTAGTAGGGAGAGAACGAACTTTATAGACGGGCACGGTATGATGAAAACATGAATTACATGATAATTACTTGATAATCAAATACTGATCACATGAACTACTCTACGAGCACCTTAGTATGTACAGGGTGAGTGAAACTGGATGTCCCCGCTATTAAAAAAATGGATATAAGATTAAAAAAATCTGAAGAAGGATTCATGAAAATAGGGATTGAATCAAATCCGTTTCAAACCAAATTTGCATATTTTTCCAAATTTGAATTTGTTCATTGTTTTTTTTCTGTCTTGAAAATGAAAACATTCTTTCAGTGTTCTCTTCGATTTTTCCGTATTTGTCTTTCTTGACCTGCGTCGTCGAAAACGGTATACTTATGCGTTATAAAATCAGAAAGCCATCCTTGACTGGAATTTAAATAAGTTCTTGAATAATGACCCTTCAGCTTAAATTAACTGGCTATGAAGTGTGCGCTGGTAAACAAGTTGACAACGCGTGTTTCCTTGAATTTCATGAATTTTAATTGTTGTTCTGTAGAAAGAAAGGGCTAGAACATTTCGGTAAAAGCTGGTGAAAGCAAAAGTGATTCTTCGATGGGTGATAATTGATTCAAGTTGACGAAAATTCACAATGATTTTTTAAGTAATCTGTGGAATGTGATTGCTTATTAGGCATAGATTACCTCCATTATATGTATAAACAGTCCTGTAACTATATTGTTCACATCTCTGTTTGTATAACCTACTGCAAAAAATACATGGCACATAGCTATAGAAACCATTTCCCCAATAACTTACCTCATATATGTACGGGGTGATTCAAACTTACCGCCCTTCGCACATAACAGGAAAAGTGAAATTCAAATGAAAATTCGGCAGAGGGGATTTGAATAGTTGTGTGTAAGGTATATTTTTTCGTATTTGAACATATTTCAACTCTTCAAAATGGCGGAAATTACGCCAGAAATGTTATTTTTTCCACAAAGTCACCATTTTCTTCTCATATTCTGAAAAAACATATCATTTTTAGCATCTTTCATCCATACACACAGCTATTCAAATTCCCTCTGCTAAATTTACATTTGCAGTTTTACTTTTCCTGTTATGATCGAAGGGCGGGAAGTTTGAATCACCCTGTACAGGGTGGGCCAAATTGGTAACTTTTAAAGGGAAAGTCCTATTCCCGTACAAGATAGAAAAAAACTGATATCGGTGCCTGTTGATCATTTCACATGACACTCAAAGGTGGAAACCGCATATCGATATCTATATATTCTTCGTTCTTCGCGTTCTTTATATTTAATTTCTTTCGGACTCATTGTAGGTAACTTTACAATTTTTTCACTATTCAATTGATGCATTATTCTAGTTTGATATACTGAGTTAGTTTTGTCTCATTCCGATAATAAATTTGCAAAAAATAGTATTCTGTAGTACAACGTCCTGATTTTCAATAAAATGGAATTTCCATTTCTTTACAACGCCATATCTCGGTCACAGATTAACAAACCTTATCTCGGTATTGATTCATCCTATTAGATTCATTTTCTCAAAAGTAGAGGAATTCGTTGGGGATAATTTCGTCTCGATTGAGTGTGCTTCTAAAATTCATAGTAAATGAGCTATAGCCTATCAATTACGAACGCACCAGTACGAACTGATGTGAAATTTCAACCTACTAGTGTGACGTCAGCGTCGAGAGAGAGGGGATAGACTACGGCCCGGTGAGATAGAGTAGGCCCTGTATCAATACGCCAATAATAATATGAAAATCGAGACATTCAAGAAGAAATAATGGTTTGTCGTCGATATACCTACAATTTTTTTTATACAGGGTGTTTCGAAATTCGACCGACAACGCTTGACAGGTGCATGATAGTCCTCGTGATTTCATAATTACTGTGAGATGGGTCTTCAAGTGTCCAGTTCTCGAGATATATGGTGTCGAAGTTGATAAATAATAAAAGTTAATTATTATACAAGATAAAAAAGTACTAGATTTCAGCTCCAGGTTGTATGTGAGTTAAAATCTAATATTTTTTCCGGGTATAATACACTATTTTTTTCTGTGACAATATTGAGAAGATATTACATTATATTTGAATCAGAGAATTATATCGACGTGAAATTTGAAGTTTTTAACATTGTCCACCAATAGTTAGAATATTGGTGGACGATGGCTATAGAAACCATTTCCCCAAAAACTTACCTTATACATTATATTGAATCGTCTCTTAGATTATTTTATTGCTATCAATACGCCAATAATAGTATAAAAATCGAGTCATTCAAGAAGAAATAATATACTTTGTCGTCGATATACCCCAATTTTTTTTCAAAAACAGGGTGTTCAGAAATTCGACCGACAATGCTTGACAGGTGCATGAAAGTCCTCGTGATTTAATAATTAATGATATAGGTCTTCAAGTGTTCAGTTCTTCAGTTCTTGGTTCTTGAGATACATGGTGTCAAAGTTGATAAATATGGAAGTTATTTATTATACAAGTAGATTTTATCTCCAGGTTGTGTTGTCTCCCGACTCGTATATAGCGGAGTGAGATAGACAACTGTGAGCTCGACTGTGAGCTAAAATCTAATATTTTTCCCGTTTATAATCCCTATTTTTGTCCGTGACAGGAAAAAGGACGAATCAATATAGAGATGATATCACATATTAAAATAAGAAAATTATCAACGTCAAATTCGAAGTTTTTAACAGTAATGACACCTGTCAGTCTAATTCTGTGATTTGGTATTATTGGCTTATTTTTCGGAATTATAGCACAACAAAAGCCATCAATAGTGGGGAAAAAGTGATTTAGGAAAAGTGACATTTTAGAACTGGCAACAGAGATGAAATTTAAAACTTTTATCCCGTCACAGAAAAAATCATCATGGTTTATTTTTCGAAAATTTCTGTTGGTAGGTACTTACGTATTTCTGTCTGAAAAACACGAATTTGATTATGAAAATGTAAACAAACCATTATTTATTAAGATATTTCACTATGAAGTTACAAATTTCACCTTCTTTTCCACCTGTCTTTTGGATCACATTTAGAACAATTTGTGCCCTTCTTTTTTCATCATTGTACAATTTATATATCACAATGTACTTCAATGACACATTTTTTTCTGTTATATGAGTCGACTAAAAATATTATTTTCTTGCGATATATCCTTTATTAGTGAAAAGAAGGAAGAATATCATTTAAAATAATGGCGTGTGTAATGTCATTCAAAAGCAATCTGTTGACATTTGACATCTCGTATTTGCATTGACTATTGATTAAATGGTATGATTATTCACTAAATATGAAAAACTTGCCATAAAAATCATATTTCGTGTTGAATTTCCTATATAAAAATGTGTCATTGAAATACATCATGAGTATCTAAAGTGGCCAATGACAAAAAAGAAGAGCAAGTAGCTGTAAATGCATCCAAGACAGGGGGAAAAAGAAGGTGAAATTTCGAACATTTTCTTGAAATATCTCGATGAATAGTGGTTTGTTCAAATATACGTAAAGTACCTACCAAAAAAAAATTCCAAAAAAAAACCCATCGCATGATAAGTGCAGTTTTTTACTTCAATTTCTTCTCAAAAATAGTTAAATCAGATTTCCAAAGGCGAAGCTTTGGAATTTTTTGTCAAAGGAGATATTCCCAAAAACTTATAATGTAATCTCCAGAAGTATAGAAAAAATACCAATAGGTATACCTTCTCTCCCTCTATCTGATGCATGGTAACGTAAATTTAACTTATTTAGCTACCTGTACCTACCTATATACCAACTAAATAAATTACTAGATAGTATATGTAGGTATATTATTTCGTAATATTCGAATATCTTTGTATATTTTCCGAATCCAATAATGTTTTCACACCACATAAAAAATATTATTTCTATGAAACAATAACAGGTTGGTATGTAACAACCACTACAACCAGTCACGGGAAGTCTTATCGACTAAACACTGCTCGGATAAGAACATTAAAACAAAATTAAACCTAATTCGAGTACCTACTTAAATGCTCTTCAAGGTCCGCATAGTGTAACGGGCCATTTCCAAAAAAGACCGCCCTAGTTAGCAAAACAGCGCGCCACAATTTTCAAATAATAACAATTATTGCTGTATAGGTACGTGAATTTTTCTGTTCAGCCAACTAAGCACTCGCTTCAGGTGAAATAATCGATAGTTTGTTTTTCTAATAACAAACTAGAGAATTATTATCATGGTAAAACATGAAAGACATCGAGGAAGTGCTCTGCGAGCTAGAGGGGGCGTTTAAACCTATCAAGTTACCTTATAAATAGCGAAATAATTGAAAAAACTTACCGTCTAGTGTTTATCACTGATAACAGTACACGCCATGTTGGAAATTAATGTCAAACATCAAACTGTATGGTGTTTACAAACCTTGTCATGTGACAAAAAGACGACATGCGCGACTTCCTCCGCACACTCTGATTGTAACATCGCGTTTTCGCGTTTAGCCTTACCGAAACCCATACATAAAGGCGAAAATTGTTCGTCACTGTTCCGCGAACGGTATTGTTCTAACGCGACACACGGAGCGCAACGAAAATCAAAATATTTTGCCGCTGTCGCTCGTAAATTCGAAACGGTTCTTGGCTTTTCGGTTTTGGATGATCATGGACTGAATGGCCTTATGGTTGGTTGGTTTGTTTGATCAAGTCCCAGGGTGGAGTAACGATTAGCGTTCATGGTAAACGTCAATATTTTCTAATCCAATCGAACCTGATACTGATACATTTCCATGGTGACGTTTGAAGCTGAGAAAGTATGTTACGGGCCGTTTTCATTTACAATTATTGCATAAGTGCATACAAATTACCGATCATTTTGCATGAAAGCGTGATAGGTATCTGAAAATTGCCAGAGTCCTTCGGATTCGGGCTCTTTCACCAAAATTAGTCCAGTCATTATAGACTTTGACCCGTGAATAATTTTTTAGTGTTTTTTTTTTCATAGGTGTTGCGGGGGGGGGGGTCACTGGGAGTGTAAATTCAAAATGGCGACCAAATCAAGCTTTTGCGTATATTCGAAAACTGTTTTTTTTGTTAAAAAACGGTTTTTCTTTAATAACTCGGCCATTTTTGATTCTACAGATAAAGTTTGGGGACAAAAATTGTAGTAAATTTGGTTCTCTACAAGTTTGGTCCTTACAATTTTTTTGATAGGATCGATATTTTGTAAATTAAACCTGAAAAAAAGCGACAAATTCGAAATATTTTCATTTTATTGTATACAACTTTCGCCCTATTCGTTGCACCTTCTGAATTGAAAAAGAGGAGATATTGCGAATATTTCTGAATGGGTACATATTTTCTGGTTAAATTCCGAAAATATTGGAATATTTCACGAATGAAGAAATTCTCGAAGGAATTTTGTTGATAAAGACTATGCATAAAATTTGCTATAAGACATTCAGATTATATGGAGCACTCACCAAAACGTGACATTGTTTTCAATTTTTGAAATATTTCTGATGGCATATTATATCATTTGTATTTTTTACTGGCGTCTAGGGTTATGGTTTCAAATGTGTTGTTATGGCGACGGGATGTTTTCGCAGTGCAATCTCTCGCGCTGCAGTGCAATTACCGCTGTAATTTTTTGATAATTGCATTGCTCTTATGAGACATTTTCTATCATTATGAGAAAAAAAAATTTCAGTTGACGGGAATATCAAGAGATTCTATTTACAATTTTCCGAATCCTTTCATAAAGCAGCAAAATACAAATTATATAATTAATCCATTATGATACGTCAAAAGCAAAGTGTTTCACTTACTGTATGTAGGGCGATCCTGCCGAATATTATTCCGATCTCGGGCAACTAGATATCGATAACATGAATAGATTATATTATGAGACCGAGACCTGCTGATGAGGCCTGGCGAACCGAAACAGTACTGTCTCCCAATTGCTGACAATTGGGGCAACTCTATCATAGATCTTTCAGAAATTGAATCTAGTTCTTCGAATGTATTTTTGCTTGCTTGCATGCTTCAATGAAAGTTTGACATTGACAACTATATTTTGGCGTTAATTTAAATAATCTCTCTGGAGATGGAAACTTGGTGCTTTATTGAGAGACATTTTCAAATTGATAGTGTGGCCAATTCATTCTATAGTTGTTTCTAGCAACAGAATGAGAAACAATTTTCTATTCACAAAAAAATTACAACTCACAGTGAAATTCCTACTTCCCCATTTTTGACAAATTTCTTTTACGGCAATTTGATGATTTCAGTTCGAAATTGCGAATTGTTGTACGTTTTCAAACTATAGAAGCGAAAAAGTTTCGCGAAGTTGTTCAATTATTTTCTATCAGTAATATAATATATGTACATTCGGGTTGGTAGGTGTAAGTACAAATTTTCCTGTAACAGACCCAAAAGTCGTTTGTTCTCGTTTCAAAATTGGCTCTTTTGATTGACTTTTTCCTCACTGACATAATGAAATCGCCAATATGTATGTTTCTAGGCATCACTTTCACTGTCTTTGAGCTAACGTTCAAACAAGTCCAAGGAACTAAGAATGAGTCACTAGACACCCGAAATTGGATAGCAGCTACCACTGACGTGGTGGTGTTCATTCATTTATATTTTATCAATTAGATCTCGACTATTTTGATTGCAAAAAAATGACATATCAATCACTTTTCCATTCACAATTAACCTTCGGGTTAGCTAACTTTGGAAACGGAACATGCTCCATGTTTCATTCGAATAAAAATCAAGCAAACGTGAATATCACTCGTTAGAGTGTCACTTTTGATCCTAATAAAACAATGTACCTACTATTCTCATTAAAATTATATAAAACAAATGTAGTTCTGAATATTGACAATATTCTGATCAAAATACTGAGAAATCAAACGAAGTTCACATACTTTATTAAATTGCCCTGTTGGAATGAGATGGGCCCGTCAAGTTATTCCGAAGGTTGTAACTGATGACAACAGCCGTTGATAAGGAAACGCACAGAAACAGTTATTCAAAGTAGTCTACAACCTAGAAAGGCAGCAACTAACAATACAGCTATATTTATTGATAGACCAGTCCACTTTTTCAAAAAATGTCAGTCTTACTTTTCGCAGAATTTGCCAATGAAGATGTACGTAAAATAACTAAATGGGATGATAGCTTTGACTGAGTGCATTTTCTTTTACATTCCTGTGATTAGCTCTCGGAATCCTGATACAGAATTGAAAGAAAAATCGTGTATTAAAATTGTATGGTCGATTCTGAAGTAGGTATAGATCATTTCATACATAATATATGAAATGAAAGGTCATATTTTTGTCGAAAACATTTTTGGAGCTGATGGAATTCTCGTAAATCACTGATCGATCGAAGGATCGTTTGCTCTCGGCGAAGTCAGGAGAACCTTGACGGACCAATTATCAGTTATTGAAAAATCAGTTGTAATCAAAATTTTCTGGTCTTGTCTTCCGATATAATTACAAATTACAACCCACCCTTCCCTAAATAAAAACGTATTATTGGATATTCATTCCATCTTTGTCCAAAAAAGGATTTTTCCCTGCTCGTACTGCTACTATTATTTAATATCCTATAATCAGACGGTGAATAAATCTGAAATACTCATCCAGACTGTTTTCCACTGACACTATATTGACACAAATATATACACAGAAAAAAATTGTTGTTGGATTATCGCGAATGAATTGATATTCGAGATATCTGTCAATCTGTCACTGTTGATCATTTACTTGTATACGTGGACCAACTATAGCAATCAGGGTCTTATGAACGGCGTGACGTCAAATCTTGTGTCATATATTGATACACTACACTGTTTTACCACTAACCAAACCGATTTTTTAACGCCTCGACACGTGTTTAGCTAACTATGTTAGTATCTTCAGGAGAAGAAGTTTTAATCTTCTCCTGAAGATGCTAACATAGTTAGCGAAACACGTGTCGAGGCGTTAAAAAATCGGTTTGGTTAGTGGTAAAACAGTGTAGTGTATTATCGTGCCAAAGGTTCCAGTCTTCGATATATCATATATTGATGAATAGGGGAAGAACCATCCTGGATGAGTTGACGATCCTTGAATGACAATCGCATTTCTTCCTTCATCATTCACATTATTCAATATTTGCGAAAGGGTGTAATGAAAAACTCGAATATCTGGACATACAAATTTTATTATGAAAAAGCCATAGTGTCCTTTGGCCTGTTTGGCCTCCAAGCTCTGGCATCGTTTATAAAAAAGAGGTAGAATATTTTGAAGCTAAAAACATATGTGGATTATGAATCTGGGAATGGACCATTGTCGTTCCAACAAAAAACCTAGTTAGTTGGCGAGAGGTATCATATATTGTTTGTTCATTGAAATATGGGTTGCTTGCAAGAACTGTCAGATGACCGACCGACCCTGGAGGTGAAAGATTGAAACACAACCTCACCTTTTTCTAATTTGTTTGCAAGTGATTGAAATAGTTTTTCACAATTATTGTGGCATACGAATCGTGTTTTTCGGCTATTCATTAATTTGCGAATGCCATCACATTGTGCTGTTGTACAATGCACAAAAAATGCAGCGAGAGACGAAGGAATCCAGTTGGTACATTATGATTTAAAAGTAAGTACCTACTATAGTCACTCACATATAGTTTTTATTTTGAAATTTGGTAATTTCTCTGATTTCTCATCGGAATTCCTTTTGCAATAGGAGCTAATAGAAATACTCGTGAAATTTCTGAAATAATGGGAGAAGATTGGATTCATGCAATCAAACGGAAGGACTGGTCTGACATGCTGACGAAATATGATCGTGTGTGTTGTAGACATTTTCAATCTTTAAGCAGTATATGTATAAGTCTATTGCAGAAGTGGCAGAAAGAATTTTTAATAAGAAATGAAAAAGATTTATAATGAAAACTATGTGATATTACTATTTACCTGAAAAATCATATTCCTCCGCCTCTCGCTGCATTTTTTGTGCATTAATTGTACAACAGCACAATGAGAAGGCATGCTTGAATTAATGAAATGCGCAAAAAACACGATTCGTATTACAAAATATGGTGAAAAACTATTTCAATCCTTTGATTTTTCTGAAAACAAATAAAAAAAGTGAGGTTGTGTTTAGCGATGTTGTGTTTCAATATTTTACCTCCAGGGTCGGTCATCGTGCATCTGACCTATAGACAAATTTTGGGTTTATGAACATACTTATACCTCTTGGTCTCGCATTCTAACTAGTTTTGAATTCAGAACCACAATAATGTAGAACATATAGCGCCCAGTACAAATAATTTGTGAAGAATAGAATCTACAGGTAGGTACATGAAATATTTACACATAGCACAGTGACGATTATATTCACAGTGTCGATATAAAAAATGTTTTAAAAATATCGGAATCTCAAGCGCTCGCTAGAGATGATGGTACCAATTCAGGTGCAATCAGTCATATCGTTCATGACTTGATGAAATCGACGTCATTTGCAAAACTGAATTGCTTAGTTAGATAATATTCTAGGCTCCGAGGACTGAACACCTCCATCCTCTGCCTTTCTTCCCAGGATTTCATTGGCTGGTCGAACCGCTGCGGCCACAGACACGTTGATGTGCCTTTAATTCATTTCTTACAGACACGTAGGTATATATATGACGTCACTACCCAGCGAATTATGTATTCGGCCTTTCCAATCAATTCAATATGACATATTTCTTGATATGGAACGATATTTGGAAGGTAATTTCAGTCTTCTTCCGATATAATATACACTTAGAGATCGCGAATATAAGGAAGGAAAATGCCCTTTCTGCATAAGCAAAGAATATCTGAACAATTTTATCTAAGTCGGCCTGAATGAACTGTCTTCCTAGAAGGTATATTTTTTGTCAAATTACTTGAGGAAACAAAAGAGAAATTCAAAAAGATAGTTGACCCTGGCGAGGATTGAACCCAGGCCGCCGGCGTCACAATCCGATATACATAGTTCGCTGTGGCAAGCGCCTACTCAAAACTTATTCATATATGAAGAAGAAATTGCATTAAGCTGTTATCGCGTGAGGTGCGTGACGTCATGTAGGTGCACGTTATAAATATTACGCGTGCACATCAACGTGGTCTATAGTCACTGGCTGATCGACCTATAAGGCGTCATCGGGCATCAGCGCTCCCGCTATGCAGGCCGTCATGAAGCAGACCATGGCGCCCCCAAACCACGCCCTGAACACCAGCCTGGTCACCACTTCCCGCTTGCTCGGGATCAACGCTCCCAGCGACGAGATGGTGATGCCTATGGAGCCTGGATTCGAGAAGCCGCAGATGGCGTAGGTAGCGATCACTCTCGTCCTAGCCTGGAACAAAAGCAAATCGAAATGACCACTGACATTAGTACTATCTAGACCACTATATGTCGCATCTCAGCAGCCCGAAAAACTCGTCATATTGGTCGCAAAACGCTTCTGCTCAATGCCCAGGAACTCCCAAACTGTCTTTTATGACATCGATTCATGTCTCTTGGTGTTCAGAAACTCGCATGATCAAAACTATTAAAGGAGTCTCTACTGGTATGGAATTGAAAGAAAGAACTGAGAACTTTGGCAGACCAGAACAGTGTCAAGCAAATCTGGGTACCAGGACATCAACCTGGTCACCACTTCCCGCTTGCTCGGGATCAGCGGTCCCAGCGACGAGATGGTGATGCCTATTGAGCCTGGATTCGAGAAGCCACAGATGGCGTAGGTAGCGATCACTCGCGTCCTAGCCTGGAACGAAAGCAAATCGAAATGACCACTGACATTAGTCTAGACCACTATATGGCGCATCTCAGCTACCCGAAAAACTCGTCAAATTGGTCGCAAAACGCTTCTGCTCAATGGGCAGGAACTCCCAAACTGTCATTCATGACATCGACTCATGTCTTTTGGTGTTCAGAAATCCAAGAAAGAACAAAGAAGACCAGGAACGAAAGGGAGAGGATGTTCAGTACGCTGAGCATAGGGTGTCGGAACAATTCGGTTTTGCAGACTACGTCGCTTTGGTCAAGTCACGAACGATATGATCGCAACATTCATATTTTGCTCTGGGCTCACATTCTTTCGGCCGGTCATTTTTTACGAGCCAGACTATACATGAGTACTATCTAGACCGCTATATGTCGTATCCCATCAGCGACCAGAAAAACTGTTTCAAATTGCTCGCCTGAAAACGCTTCTGCTCAATATGGAGGGACTCCCAAACTGTCGATCATGACATAGTCATGTCTCTTGGTGTTCCGAAGTTCGGATAAGTAAAAATGAGTAAGAAAATATGACAATAGAAAGCTGGGAAGTGACGTATCGACTGGTATGGGATCGAAAAAAAGAACCGCCTAAAGCTAATCTGATGGGTACCAGAGGACATCAGGGGATCGCTGGCAACGAGAAGGCTGACGAACTTGCAAGAAGATATAGGCCAGTTTCTAGGGGTACCAGAAAGTCACGAGCGTCAGTTAGAGACTGAGTTCAGGCAAAACATAAGAGCTACTTAAGGTCCATCTACCTTTCCATACATCCAGTCACAGATTTTTGGAACCCAGTGAGGATTTAGTATGACCCGTCTAAGTGAAGATGTGTCTATATAGTCTGGCTTACGAGAGATATCCCTAGAAGAGGATGTGAGCTGAGAGCACAACATTGGGAAGTTGGTGATCCTCAACTCCCAGTGAATTCAAAAATGGAATCTGCATTGCTCGCTATTAGTTGAAAGTGCAGCTAGTCATATCTTTCATCTCTGGATGAAATTGACGTCAATTGCGAATCCAAATTGGTTAGGTTCTTCAAGCTTTGAAAATTGAAACTGAACCTGAGGTTCAATGCCACGACGACCTTCCTTTTGTGTCATGACTTGGTCGTACTATACTATGAACCCAGTATACATTTCGAGATAATCTTATATCAGAGCATGAAATATCATAGCCTGTCATCCTAGACAAAAGCACTCTTTGGTTCGTCTAGGATAGATAGCTCCACTACCTGTGAATATTTGGTTCCAAAAGAAGCTTTCAGACCATCTATCCTTTGCAGAGCAAAATAAACGAAAAGCAATGAAAAATCACGAGTGACTAACTAGGTTATACAGGGTGTCTCGTGACTCATCGCTCATATTTTAAGAGCACACCTTTCAACAATTTCAAGTCGAAAGAGCCTATACAAACCTTTCCAAAAATCTAAAATTGAGGAGTAATGAGCAATATCAAATCTAACTGAGTGTGTAATAAAGCAACGAGAATATCGAATGAAGTAATGACATATATTTTATCAATTGAAATTTTTTTGATTACTTACACAAATTTGATCTAGGATTTTGTTCAACTCAGGTCTTCTGTATTCGTATGTATTCTTACCGATAACTGTCCAGCTTCAATCATCTCGTGCATCTTCGCAAAGGCAACGAACTCATTGACCATGGTCTTGATCCCGATGAGAGTGCCCACGCTTTCGCATTCCTCCCATGGTACACCCATGACGAAGCTGACGGGAATGAAAATTTTCCCAGTTATGAGCTCCAGGGACCAAGTAGGATCACTGAAACCTGTGACACAGATAATCCAATATCAGTTCGTAATATTTCATTTTGGTTTGTGTTATCAATTTTCATTTCGTTGGTGGTTCTTATTCAGCATTACCTTCAAATACTTTACCAAGAAAGCACCTATGTTATAGAATATATAGTTGTAAGAACACCTGGATGATCAACTTGATCCAAAGGATAATGACAGATTATGTAATTAGCCCTCATTCATGAAACTCTGAAAGTTCTTGGCATGCACTAAACTAGACCTTGTGAATAATTAGTGACAAGGTTTGGAAGGGGAGGGAGGGTTTGAATGATGGTACTGGTCGTCAAGTGGAGTAAAAATCACTAAAGAAACAGAAAAAAATGATGTGTGAATGAATAGAAGTCAACCAGTAATCAACGCTGATGCCTCGTATGAAGACAACGACACTGAAGGTTCAGTAAGAAAAAAAAAACAATCAGTAGAAACCTATTTAGGAAAGGAAACATCTTGATAGAGTTTTGCAAAATTATGCAGAGATGAAACAGGGAACAGAAGGAGAACGAAATTCAATATGAAGACGTGAATAGTGAATTTTCTCTTGAAGAAAATTGGCACATCCTAAAAACCCTTTGTATCTCGTACTATTGTTGATCATTGAATGAAAAAAAATTCAAGGTACAAAGTATCGGAAACTCACCTACTAATAATCCACACCAGCCTAGAAGACCATTGATGAGGTACACTGTAGCTAAAAACGCTATGACACTAGCTACAATACCATGGACCATTCCAATAGCAGCTGATGCGCCTTTACTCGCTGCGTCCAATACAGACTCATATTCACTGAAAAAAAAAAATAGACAAATAGTTTCAGAGCCTCTCATAGGCCTTTATAAGTTCAACATGGACAGAGTTGTAAATTTAGGACAAAATAAAGGTGGTCTTGATACATGAGTCACTTACACGTCCACAGCTTGAATGTTCTCTTTGTGAACTTTTATGGTTTCTGTTTCTGGATACATCATTTTGCTGAAGCAAAGAGCTGCAGGAGCGGACATAATACTGGATGTTATGAGATCCTGAGCCCTGGCACCATAATTGATATAGGCAGCCATGACGGATCCTGATGTGAAAATGAAATAAGTTGATGAATGTGTGTGGACAGAAAAAAGTATAGGTACTATAGTAAAGGTACTATGAGAGTTTGACCGCATTCTGGCCACTATTTCTATATAAATCTCCATAAGAGAATTATAGGTCAAAAATGTCGAGGTCATCGGCTGAAGACGTCTTCAAGAGACTTCTGGAGCCTTCTGAAATCGTGGTCAGAAGCCATCTAAAGATCTCTGGAGACCTATGAAGATGACCTTGGAAGAGCCCATTTTTGCTATTTTCGGCCTGGAATTCTTTTATGGAGATTTACATGGGGATAACTGCCAAAATGCGGCCGAACTCTCATAGTACCTCTACTTACTATCATATGAAGTTGGAAATTATAGAAGATTATAACTTAACAGTGTTGTTTAGAAGTGAATTTACCAGATACAGTAGCGAAACCGGAAGTCATAATAGAATGGAGTTCTGAATCAGTTAGGCTCTTCAAGTATGGGGCCAGTAAGAGTGGGGCTTCGCTCTATAAAAAATAAATCGATCATTACAATAGTAGATTGTTTTATTAGGATTTGCGTTTGCGATAGGCGAAGCGTTAGCGAAGCCACACAAAACACAATGGCCAGTGGGTAGCGTGCCGGCCTGATATGCCAGGTATTTCGGGTTCGAATCCCGTACTACACCAACAGATTTATTCAATTTCCAAGGATGTTCCAATTATGATTCCAATATAAATATTACGAATTGACTATGTAAATGTGTTCGAGTTTCTTGTTGAGTATAATGAATACTAATCTATGTTATTTATTCTTGATGACTTAGTACATCCTTTTCAGTTCCTAGGAGGTAAATATCAACTTAAGCTCCTAGGAACAAAAAGTGTTGCCTACTAACATACCTATTTTTGTGTCAGTGTTTGAAGCATCAATTTCAAGAGCTGATTTTGAAATTAAAATTGACGACTTTTGAGTCGGATGCAGAAAAACATATTTTTCTGGAAATATTGGTGTGAAATGTTTATCGATTCATTATTGTATGGCTCATTTTATTTTATCCTTGTATCAATAGTGAATACTACATCATAAAATGATATGTTTTTCTCGTCTGATATTCGTCTACAACTTTGTACTAATTAACTACATATATGTATAATGCACTCACCAGTCCCAAAAATATATTGGCAGCACTGTTAACACTTTCGCATATCGATGTTCCCATAATCCACTGCAAAAAATTGCCAATCGCCCCTATCACTTTTTGCATTATCCCATAGTAGTACAGTACATTCACCAGGAAACCGACGAAGTAAACAGTAGAAAGAGCCTTAAAATTCAAATGAATCGTTCACTTATATCCACTGAACAACAACTACATCATCTCAGGAAACAAAGATTCATTTCCAAAGGTAGGAAAAATATAAATTACGATGATCTGAAAAACCGTGACTAACTAGAGTTAAACAGTTTGATTGTAACAAATACACTGTTTGCTTGTGAGAAATAATAAGTTTAACTGTTTTGAGTGAACTGTTCATTTGTGATGAGTAAAATGTCATTTGTAGGAAGTACACTGAGTTGTATCAGAATTTCGAGATAAACGGCCACCTTGATTCCTTGAGTGGTGAGATAGATACCTTGAACGCAAACACATTTTCTTTTATTATGGTCGATCCATAAGCAAATTCGGCTCCTTGGAAGGCATAATTCAAAAGGATGTCAACTTTATCGCCACAACATTGCAAAATATTTCTTCCTACTTCCCAGCGGATGGTCAACAGGCCAAATAGGAATTGGAGAATCAACCCCCAAATTACTACCCTCCATTGGATCTTCAAAAAAAAGTAAAATATTTCATTATCGACTTTTGACATTTTGCAAACTTCCCACCCTTAACAATAGAACCCCTCCTGTTCTATTATGTTAGAATCTCGAATGGGAAGAGGGGTCAACTGGCACCCTTAATATCTCCCTTCCAGTAAATAATATGAAAAATTGAGAAGATAGGTCAATTGCAGTCTCAATTCTTTCTCGATTTATTCAACAGAAAGCAACTATACTTTCTTGGCTATATGCCACGACGAACATTGAACACACACGATAAGAATTTGAAAACAAAATCTTCTGAAGTTGAGAATTTGTATTCTCCTTCGGATAAAAATATGTATGCACATAATATTATTCTGAATATTCAACAGAAAACAACTAATTTCCTTGCTATTTGCCACTTTGAACATTGAATTATTTGTTGAACATCCAAAAGGAGAAAATGAAAAATAAAAATCCTCTGAAATTGAGAATTGACATTCTCAAATTTCCATATCACTGATAAGAATGATTTTTTCGTAAGTTTCAAGCTCATCAAGATCATAGTTTATACAAGTATACTCCTTCTATACATTTCAATTTTCATTTCAATACTGAACATATCGGTAAGTTATATTTTTATATCATAATACATCGAATTATTTATTCGATTTGAGAGCGAATGTCAATTCTCAATTTCAGAGGATTTTTAGATTTCATGCTCTCTTTTTGGATAGTGATTCAAACGAGACCAATGAGACGAGACTTTCATAAAGTCTCGTCTCGTCTCGCCGATGAAATATGAAGTCTTGTCTCGAGTCTCGTCTCGCGACCTCCAGTCTCGTCTTGTCTCGCGTCTCGTACGAGAGTCTCGCAGATGTATCGCAATTTCGTCATGCATAATCTTGTTCCAGTCTAGTACGGGATAATCATCTTTTCCTTCTTTCTAGGTATAATGTTAAAGTAGGAAGAAAAAATTACAACAAAAACAACATTATTTATTGAAAAGTAAGTACCATATAGGTACATACTTACATCATACATCTAAACAAGTAAACTGAAGTAGCCGGTATGCTTGAGAGATCTCGTGCCATCAAACTTAGAATGGGAGATTCAGAAGCATGAATTTTCCACCATTGCAATATATCTGTGTTTTCATTACACCAAGGCACAGAATAATATTTTTTAAGCTCCTGCATTCATACTTCCGTCAAAACAAAGTTATTCTTTATCTCAGACTATTTAGCACAGAATGACTTATTTATAGATTTTCAGGTAGTCATTCAATTTGCGGTCTGTCGTTATTGCAGAATTGCCTTCATTTTCCGCCGCCATAAGAGATCATGGATTGTGTTTTCAAAGAATTTATGAATGACATGTTTTGTCTATTTCTAAAAATGTTGTATTATGAATGAATTCTCTGCAGTCGGCACGCTGAAATATCAACCTGATGCGAGACTCTCGCACGAGGCACGAGAAGTCTTGCACGAGACTCGAGACGAGACCAATAAAAGTCTCGTCTCGTCTTGTCCGAGTCTCGTCTCGAGTCTTGTCTCAAAAACGAGACGAGACCATGCGAGACTCTCGAAAACGAGACTCTCGCGGGCACCACTATTTTTGGATGTTCAACAGATATAATTCAATGTTCGACGTGGCAAATAGCCAAGAAAGTGGTTGTTTTCTGTTGAATATTCAGAATAATATCATCTGCATATACATATTTTTATCTGAAGGAGAATGCAAATTCCCAACTTTAGAAGATTTTGTTTTCAACTTTTTATCGTGTATGTTCAATAGATATAATTCAATGTTCGTCGTGGCATATAGCCAAGAAAGTAGTTGTTTTCTATTGAATAAACCGAGAAAGAACTGATATTTTCATCACATAGAGAATGCGAATTCTCAATGTATTATACAGTGTGGCCACCTTAAGGACTTACCACCCCTGTAAAATTGTTATTATCTGACCGATTTCAAAAAACTTTTTTTTGTTGGATAGGTATTTGAAATGTCCATCCAACAAGAGAGTGATTTTACTCATGAACTGTAATCGTGGCCAACTGCGACCAACGTTTTGACCCATATTTGAGAAAGTACTATTAGGGATTTTTTTTCCCAAAAAACAATAATGGATTCTGAATCACGATCACTTGAAAAACACCGTTACTGATTTTTATCATCACGAAACACAGGGTGCCCGAAAAACCGAATTATGTTTTTTTTCAATAGGTGATCAGAAAATGTATAATTTTGGTATTTTTGAGAAGAATTGATGACACATCATTATTGAGGATCACTTTGAACATATCTGTACCGATTTTCATCATTCAAAAATACGATGTGTATGAGAAAACAATTAAAAAGAAAAAGTAGGCAATATTTTTTCATCGACTCAAAAAAAAATTATATTATATGCCACTTGACTCTCCTTCCCATTCGAGATACCCCCCTCCTAGGGGGGTTGAATCAATAGGGTTGAAATTAATCATTTTAAGTGTCCCCCTTGAAAATAAAATCGACCTGATCTCGTCACCCTTATTGAATCACCTGGTACATTTTTTTTGCACAAAGTATTCTCATTCATCAACTTTGGATATAATATCATGACAAAAAAAATAACGAGAGCAAAGACATGTAGTGTTTTTTTGAGGATATTAAGAGAATTTGTTGTGAAAAACGGAGATTTGAAGCAGTAAATCTATTTTCATACTGAATGAATGGAATGGATATTCTTCATATCAAGACTTTTGCAATAAAACAAGCTTTTTACTAATTAGGCATTATTCTTACCGCAGATTTGTTGTGTGAAAATAAGAATCCGATCAAAATAAACAAAACCAATCCTGAAATCGGTATCAGTCTGTTCCGATTTTCATTCGTATCGAATCCTAAATAAATCAAGAAGGCTGCCAGAATGGCAACATAAAAAATTGTGGAACCATACCTGAAACATTATCGATTGTACAGGGTGGCCAACTAAGAATGCGAGGTACTGTATCTCGGAAACTATCCATCGTAGGGACTTGCGGCAAAAAATTGTGATACTAGAAAAACAAGCATTATTAGTTTTACCTTACGAAATTTTCTAATATTATCAAAAAAGGTGATTTTGTTTTGAAAAATGAAGAAAGAATACCTATTTCCAGAAAAATCATACCGATGCATTTGATTTTTTTGAGAAAATCAACTATTTCTGTCGGAATGTCGAAAAAATCCCTCTAGCGGCGATATATGCAACTAACAAAACTTCAAATATTATAACATTCGTAGCCCAAGAATAGCTCTTCCCAACTAGCTCAAGTTTGTCAAAATCGGCTGAGCCGTTTCGAAAATACAGGGTATTTTTTACAGGAACTTTCGAATACCCCCCACCACTTTATTTTTCGAGATACAGCAGAATTTGTCGAACGAAAAAGGTTCAGGTTTTCGTCGACAATAAAAATCAGGTATTTTTTTGTTAGGTTAATGAAGCGGAATTCACCGAAAAATCATTTTTTAGATTCAAGATTGCAGTTACGCACCCTAGCGGTCATTTGAGAAACTTGAAAATATTTTCCAGGTTTTTCTTTTGGGCGTTTTAGTAATATAATTTTTTGCCGCAAGTCCCTACGATGAATATTTTTCCAGATACAGTACCTCGCATTCTTAGGTGGCCACCCTGTACTATATTAATGGAATATATGGGGTGTTTGATACTTTTCGTGGCGTGTTTGAAATATTGAATATACCTACTTACTCACCTGATGCCAGTGAGAATATTGACCAATGGTTTATAAATGGATTTATTGATGAGAGGAACTACTACAGGATTGATGAAGATGGAATAGCAGAATCCGAATATATAAAACCCAAATAATATCACGAGCATTCCATAGCCAGTGCATAGCGTGTCAGTAAAGTTGTCCGAAACATTCTCTAGAAAATAATTATTGTGTTCTAGAACTCTGGAATAGTCTTTGGGACATTGAAATTCTTCTTCGAGTCCAAAGACGAACATTAACTTCAAATCAACCCACCTGTTTCTGAGAAATAGTAAGAAGTTGCCCAAGCGAAAAACGCTGAAAATATTGAAAATACTGTCCATTTTGTGATTCTTGAGGAATGCTTTTTGGACCAATTTGATGTTTTGACCCAAACTGATGGTTTTCTGGTTACATTTTTCTTTCCATTGACCCGTGATGGTTCCTCCACATCAATTTTGTTATCTGGTTCCTCAAGAATATCATCAGATAACACCTTAAACAATACTAATTTCGAGAATATGGACAAAGTTAACAAAATTATTGTTTTTTCATTAAAAATGTACAAAATACAGTGTGCGTCGGACAAAGAAATCCCATGAGATCAGATCTGCTCAAAAATGAATGAGGATCTTGAGTTAATTTTATTTTGGGAGAAAGCAGTGGCGTAGAGTATTTTTTTGTCGAAAAATATTCAATGCGAAACTCGTACGGACGCCACTGGTACATAAAATGAAAATTTGTTAACATCAGAAAATGCACATTGATGCCTAGAAGACATGTACCAAAATTCATTAAAATGTCTACAATATTATTTCAGTTGTACTTGCACCTTGTATATCCGATATCAAAAACGGCAATACAATACAATAGGACTGTTTGTTCATGAAGATTTTGAAAAAAATCTGAGGATCGATAACATTATCGCACAAATAAATCATCAGTTTTAAGTTGGTCACACTATATACAGTGTGACCCATTTAAGATGGAAGCACCCTTATAAAACTTACATTTTTCAACCGATTGGAATGATTTTTTTTTTGTTAGGTAGATATTCAAAAAGTCTATTAGGACACCGAATATCATGAATAAATCTCCATTTCCAGGGCCAACTAATCCAAAAATCTAAAAAAATTACTAGCGATTTTTTTAGAAAAAATCTGACTACACCACTGGATTTGTGACATTTTCAAATGGGTAACATGTAAGTTACGTTGAAACGCGTCAATCAATAAAAAAGTTATAAAGGAATGAAGTTTGAAAAATATGCCGTTTAATCAACCCACCAATTCATGTTCAGGAATTTTATGAAAATTCTGTATACTCCACTGGATTCAGGATGTCTTGAAATATTACTGATCACAGTTTCATCGAAATCTGTTCAGTAATAAAAATTGATGGGTTGATTAAACGGCATATTTTTCAAATTTCATTCCTTTATAACTTTTTTATTGATTGACGCATTTCAACGTAATTTACATGTTACCCATTTGAAAATGTCACAAATCCAGTGGTGTAGTCAGATTTTTTCTAAAAAAATCGCTAGTAATTTTTTTAGATTTTTGACCTTGAAAAATCAGATTAGTTGGCCCTGGAAATGGAGATTTATTCATGATATTTGGTGTCCTAATAGACTTTTTGAATATCTACCTGACAAAAAAAAATCATTCCAATCGGTTGAAAAATGTAAGTTTTATAAGGGTGCTTCCATCTTAAATGGGTCACACTGTATGTTTCAGTTGAGCATTTCTGATTAAATGGGATCGATATGAAATATAAAATATTTTGTTACCAAAGTCTATTACTCACCGTTTCTAAAGTTTCTGTAGAAGAATTATTCATCGTACTCTAATTCATATGGTCAATGGAAACAAATCTAATACATGGTTTCTCTGAAACATGTGAAATAATTTGCAATCGATCATCAGTGATTACTGCGATATGAACGAAAAATTGTTTATCTAATTGAATAATTGAATCATAATCAATATAGATATCCATATGATTGATGTTTGGCATTCGTCAGTAGCGGGAGACGATATTTTTTTGGGGCCAACATTTGTTGAGAATATGAGGCGCTGAAAGCACAGTGATCAAACCAAAAATAGAATTTTATTTGAAGAAAAGCAGAAAGAAATGAGTGCATCACTGGATTCTGCAAAAAAATCCTCTGAGTGCAACATTATTTCTTCTATAACTTCGCAGATATGTGTCCAAAAGTTCATAGTTGCCTTGTAGGTATCTTATAAACGGTAACTTTCATTAAAAATCGTATTAGGTCATCTTGGGTTTCTCAAAAAAATAGGAAGTCACGTGAAAATCGCAAGGCTCTATCTTCAATAACAACCGAGAAGCCTGACAGTCTTAACCAGAATGGAACCAGACGGGTCCAAGACCAACCCAGCGAGCACAAACATCCCTGGGATGTTTTGGAATGTTTTGAAAATGTTGGCATGAAGATGTTATTTTGAGACGTTATACAGGGTGTTTCATAATTGAATGTCAATATTCGAGGAGGCGATTCTTGGGCCCATACTAAGAAGAAAGTTTCATATGAACGTATGACCTAAACGTCCTAACTTTTGAGATACAGGGTGGTAAAGTTCTCAAAAATTAATATAGCCTACTACAATGGAAAGTTATAATTCCAAAATACCAAATATGATTACGAAGTTCATAAACTATGAATTGTATTTCTGAAATTTTATCTGAATAATAAAATATAATTCTCTGCATTGTGATATTGTCATACTAAAGATATTGCTATAATCATGTAGCGAACAGCTTTTTATTTTTTAAGCGAAAACCGTGCATCAGATTGAAAAAATTGTGATGATCAAACTTGCTTGGAAATAATTGTTAATTTCAGGAATGATTTCAATTTCGAGATCAATCAGTGGCGTACCATCAATGTCTGCCAAAATAGGTATGTGAAATTCCATTCGAACGCCACTGGTGGCAACCAAAAAAAATGTGATACACTAACTGATGCCTCTTGATACATAGTACATGTATGCCAGATTTCATTAGAATATCTGAAGTGGTATTACAGATATTAATAAAAAACTCTCAATTTTTGAGAACTTTACCACCCTGTATCTCAAAAGTTAAGACGTTTAGGTCATACGTTTATATGAAACTTTCTCCTCAGAATGGGCCCAAAGTTTGCCTCCCCAAATATTGACATTCAATTATGGAACACCCTGTATGCACTGACCAAAGAGGTCTTTGAAGGATATTGAAGTATTGTTTTTGTTCTTCTGTGGCATTTCTTTGTTTGCCTACTGAGAGGTATCCCTGGGATGTTTTGGGATGTTTTAGAAATGTAGGCATGAGGATGTTTTTTTGAGGCGTAATATGCACTTCCCAAAGAGGTCTCAGAAGGATATTGAAAGTATCGTTTTTGTTCTTTTGTGCCCTTTCTTTGTTTGCCCCACCACAACGTCGCATGCTTACGTCACAATACGATGAATTCTGATTTGTTTTCGATTTTGTTCTTCTTGTTCGCAATCGGCATTCGCGTTTGTAGCGTGTCACGCTTACATCACGCTGCTAACGAACAGAAAGGAATTTGGTGAAGTTTATGGTGTTAGAAGACTTATTTAGTTTGTAATAATGACCATCAGATGCAAGATGTGTTGTTCGGTGCCTCAGTGTAATCAATATATAAAAGTACGAATTCATCAATACACAGCTTCTCCGCAGTTGCAAAATCATGCATTGTTGAGAACATTTCAAGAATTGGGAAACCTATTTCCAATTATATATCTGTGTGTAGTAAGCACTACTCAGAAACCGATTAAGAAGGTAATTTCATATCAAGAAAATATTTTTATGTTAAATCCAATCTTAATGCATTTTTTCAGTCAAGGGAAATGGCATCCTAATGCAAAAGTTCATTTTGACAAAAGGCTTCAGAAAAGTACCTCGAAAATGGTTTTTTTACAGCGATTTAATGTGCGCAAGACGCGTTGAAAATGTTTTGTTGTGTCCATGAAAAGGCTTTAAAAAGAACTAGGGAGAAGGTAGTTTTGTAACATATCAAGGACATCTCGACAATGGCCGCCTGCGGCGGACATTGGTTGTTCTATAATAGTTCTATTCATGTGTGAACAGAACATCGCAGTGGAGGTTCAATGTCTCGAAATCTCGTACTTTTAACATCTCTGAGATGTTTTTGTGCTCGCTGGGGAACCTGTACAGGCTAGTGCAGGGAATAAAAGCTACGGAATGGGTCGTTACCACGGATACAATCGGTGGTAACGAATGAGTGCTGTGTAAAATGAACTGGAATGCACAAAAAGCCCAGGAGGCTGAGGTGTAGCCAGTGACAGGACCAGCATCCAAGAAAAAAAAAACAGAATGGACGAGCAAAACTTTTTAAATACGTTTATGCTGAATAATATCAATCATTTCGAATCTGAAGAATAGCAGCTCAGTCTCAAGGTTTTGGTTCTTGGCGGAAGCCAAAATGACTGAAAAAACAATGTAAACAAACATATCTATCCTACTCATTTAATATTTTCCAATATCTTGCTGACTATATATGATTGTATAACTCTCGTAAAATCAATGATGGTATAGGCTCTACTATTTTTCTCAAATTCCTACCATAAAAAATTGAATCGCGTTAACTCATCCTGGAAACGCCACTGTATAAACTCACCTGGTATTTTCCGAATTCCAATCAATCACACAATAACAACATTACACTCAAATGAGGCGAAAAAATGGAATAGGCAATCACCATATTACTCAACTTGCATACTTGGGAGTCAGGTATGTGTCCTATCAAACCTATCAAACAAATCGCAAACCTATCACAATTTTCTTCAACATCATCACGAAATACATTGCAAAATTCTAAATCATTGAATTCATGACCGTCATACACGTGCAACAAACAATGTGAAATTATATTACCTACACACCATCATTAACAGAAAACACTGATGAGAAAATATCAAATTAACGTCCGGTGATTTTCTCATAATCATATAGACACTTGGTTCATAATAACATTAGGCAATAATGTTTCTATATCCATAAACACGAATCTGAACAATAGATCCATCATAAAGATACAAGATAAGATTATGGAAGTTGAAATTTGAATGGCTCAGTCCGAATTATTTCAACGTCAATCATGACCTGCTTGCCAATGAATAAAAGAGAGGTACAAACCTGTTCACCAACTTATTGTGGGGATTTACTACCTGGAAAACCCAAATAGTATATTATATAATGATTGTTCGAGAACATCTTACACAATATCATTTCATTGGCGCAGGTTTAAAATAACTACTGCTCGAATTCAGTAAATGATGTTCGGTTCTTGGGAACTCTTCATCGGGTCACCCTGTACCTATCCTATTGCCTTGTAGAATATATAGGGTATTCCCAAAAGTGTGGCATTTTTTAAGAGGATGTAGAGTTGTAAAGTTGTACCTATATGAACGAAGATATCTCTCCAAAATTTTAATGGTGTACAATCATTCAAGGGGACAAGTTTCAGACTTAAAAAAGTCCATCTTCAGCCCAAGTTAAAACTTTACAGGTGAAACTAACTTAATTTGTGGTGCTAATGCCCATCGTCAGAATCTCATGTTGAAGTTTATATAAAGAAAAAACGGGGTTTTGATATAAATGAACGGCCCCTTGCCCTGAGAGCGCATTCTTTAACTCAAAATGTCGAGACCCAGAAGGGTAGCTTTTAGAAGGTAATTGTCAGACGATACCCAACAAAAACCATCCAGTTAACACAGATTGATCCCCCACTTGGCATTTATATGATTCACATTATGATTGCAAATAAAACTCACATTACTCCTCATTCAACAACAAAATTGATTGATTCGATTTGTTACATAAATAGACATTGGTTGTTAGGGAGCCCCAAAAATTCACCTACATTTCACGTATCAAATTCAATAAAATGAGACGAATATTGAAACTGTTTTCTAAAATAATAAGATAACTGAGCGAGTGATTAAACAGAGGTTACAGGAATTTATCGACGACAGCGAGCTGATACCAGATGAGCAGTTCGGTTTCAGAACTGGCCAACAAGTCTTGAGACTCATTGAGGACACAATGTCGTTGAGAAATGATAGACAAAAGACCCATCTTGCTCTCCTCAAAATAGCGAAAGCATTTGACAAAGTGTGGCATGATGGTATCTTGTACAAAATGATCGATATGGGCTTTCCTGACGATTTGATTCAGTTGATGTGTTCATTTCTGAAAAATCGAACTTCTCAAGTGAACATTGATGATCAAGGATCTGGTATCAAGCCTATTGAAGCTGGTTTTCCTCTAGTATTCCTCAGGGTGCAGTTTTATCGCCGCTGTTGTACAGTTTATATACAAGCGATTTGCCGAGACCAGTGATGTGCAAGATGTCGCTTTTTGCTGATGATACGGCAGTTCTTGCATATTCGACAAATTTCAAGCAAGCATTTATGAACCTCCAAAGGACGCTGAATTCTCTTCAGGAGTACTTCCTAAGATGGAAGATCAAATTGAATCCTACAAAATCACAATTGGTCGCACTCGAAAGGGAGCGGAGGCCTTCCAGAACAGTCCTGGATGGTCTTCAAAAGTTGAATACTTAGGTGTGTGCATTGACAAAAAGCTCACCTGGGCCCAGCACATTGAACAGCAAGTTTCAAAAGCTAATCGAGCCATTGGAGCCCTGTATCCATTTCTAAACAGACGAAGTAAATTGGGTTTGAGACAAAAATTGAATATTTATATCATGGCTATCAGGCCAAATTTACTGTATACCTCAGTAGTCTCTGGGGCCACACAGCTAAATCTCATATCACCAGATTACAAACATTACAAAACAAAATCGCGAGAATGGTGACAGGATGTCCTTGGTATGTTCGGAATAACCAGATCGCCAGGGATCTGAAACTCCCTTCAATCGTGTCAGTTATTAGAGAACGAAATATCAAGACTTTCGAAAAAGCTGAGGTACATGAGAATCAGCTTCTTCTAAATGCAGTTGATTATGACCCAGGTGATCAATCAAAGTTCAAAAGACCAAGATTGTCCATAAACTAGAGAAAATATCAACATTATGACCAAATTTACTATTCCTAAGTTTTTGATATTTATTTATTCCGTTCGATCTTTTTCAATTCTCAGAATGTATTTCTGAAACTTATTTGGGACAAAAGGGCTGTTCGCATCAAACTTCAATACCGTTTTCATTTTGTTTTTTTTTTTTGTTTCATAATAGATATCTGGATGAGAGGGACTCTTTCCTGGTCTGACTCGAATAAAAGAAAGATCCAATAAAATAAAGGGTCCCCTGGCAATATCAATGATGTTTTCTTGTAATTCGCATTATTTCCTAGCGAGACATGAATGTGACATCCCAGGGATGTTCGTGTTTACAGGAAAGGGCCCTGTGCTCCTAAAAAATAAGCGCCACTAAGAAAACCAAATATCAATTTACTTTGAGGATCAAATTGATGGAATCAAAGAGGCCAACACACATGTTGAATATTTTAACCAAGCACAATTATTGATTGATATATTCTCAAAAAATCTTGCTTTTGATTTATGGCGTGTGTCGCCAAAGTGCAGCAGCAGCAGCATTTCGTTTGTACTCTGAAAGATTTCCGTTAAGCGTGACACAGGGTGTCTAGGTAGGTTTCTCTTCTTATCCTGATATGTATTTGGATTTTCCTCATTATGAGTTCAGGGGGTTACATCTTGCTTTCGATTAAGACACATCGTTATGGAAAAATTATATTTTGTGTAATATACAATATGTACAACTATATACTAGAAAAATATATAGATACAATTTTTAACAAAATATATTCTTTGAGTTTATCTCGATGCTTAAGTACCTAGAAATATCAATATTCTTACTTAAAATAAAACATTTTTACAATTAAAATCCGAAACAAGCTACACTGGTGAACATATGACTAATTTTTTCTAGTAACCTTCAGAAACGGTTTATCATCAACTTTTTTTCGGTTAGATTTATCTCTTGAACATTTCCTGATACTTCAACAAATAGTGTGGTGAAAAAATATAGCGTTTTCTATCCTATATCAAAATCATGTATACGTTTAGGTGATGCATGTTCAATATTTGATATAGAATACAAACTGTTATCAACATCTCAGTTACTGAGGAAAATATGGCGTAGTTCTTCGATCCGAATTTGAAATCCTTGAAACTATCATTGATATCAATATAGTTATGACAGAAAAGAATTACGTTTTTGAAGTCATAGCTGTGTTGACAGTTTGTAAAAACACCTGATACAAGCTGGCTTGATTGACCATATTATTCCAATTGAAAAAAAAAAATAGGCATTTTGTATCAATGTGTTGTCAGCAGCTACTGTCAAATTCAGTGTCACTTGTCGCATTTGTTATCGTCTGTCAATGCCTATTAATAGTTTTTTGAGGAAATAAAGAGTCCAGAGTTGTTTTTATTTCAATTTTGAATAATATATATTCACCAGATTATGATTTAATAGAAATTAAATATTTTTTGAAAATGGCGCCGAGTTCATTAACATTTGGCCAATCTTTGTTGCCAACCTTGAAATTGGAAATGCCTCATCCTTGTAAAAATGGTCAGTTATCCAGCTTGTTTCATGTTTTAGTTTTCATGTTTTTCATTATCGGATCATATTATGTCTTTCAATACTGATGTTTAAACGAAGCTACACCAGGAAAGATTATTTCCAATTATCTATACTACTAATAGTGAAAATATGTGATATCGGAAAATGTATTTTCAACGAAATGAACAATAGTATCTTATTCATTCACTACCTAGTCAATATATACATGGAAAATGATTTTTAGATTAAACACATTGCCGAGCACATTGCTTCATTGTTTTATATACATGAAGATAAAGTGACACTTTCTGTGACAGGTTTGTAATTGGCAAACGAACGAAGCTCAACGTGTTAACAAATTTGATTGTAAGATGAACATTGTTTCGGGATAAATTTGATGTGAGTTAAATTATCATTCGTATCCATCAAAGTCCTGAAATACAATAATAATCAAGGTGGTAGATAACCACCGCCCACGCTGTCCACGATTATGTTTTTATTGACGTGGTTATATAGAAATCCCGATTTATTCGATATATAAAATATTTCTATCAAGAATACAATTATCCTTCTCTGGCCAAGATTCATTCATTCATTCATTGATCCATGTTTGACGTAAAAGATTGTTGCCGTATACCTTTTTATGATTTATATGCATAGATATATTTATTTATGAATTATTGCGGTGTCCATCTATTGTGATTTAGTCTGAGCGTCGACGTATTTTCCTAAAAATAAAATAATACTAACCTACGAAAGCTACAACACAGTCTTATTTTCCAAACATTCAAAAAAACCCCCAACGACAACCATCCCTCATCGATTGATCGTCGAAAAGTTGAACCTGCTGTCCGTCAAGTTCTGCAGATCGTCGTACTTGAGCACGACGGTCGAGCCGACAATCCTCGACCTCGGGTCGAAGTCAAGCCCGCCCTTCGGCTTGCCGGCGAGGTGCTGCCGCTGGTGCCGAATATGCCTGGCAGAGGGCAGCACCAGGTCGGAGAGCGAAGCCACCCTCTCCAGCTGCTCTCGCCTGCAAAGATAGAAGACAATTGTGAAAACTTCACAAACGATAATATTTCCACAAAATTCACAATCACACGACATGTTTCGATAACAAAGTCGTAGCTTCATCAGGTGAAATACTGGTACAATGAACTCAGTTTACTACTACTATACTAAACTACGGTCCCTGTAGAAAAATCACTGACTAACACTTTCACAAGAAGAGAACCTTTATTTCTCACAATGAACAGCAACGAAAGATCTGAGGAATATTTTCTATATATGACAAGTCATCAAAGTCAAAAATCTAATAATAATTTCATCAACTGTTTCAAATAGTTACATCACATAAAAAAAAACATTCTACTAGATGATTACTATGATCTGAATATTACTCCCACCTTGCAATTCCAAACATAAAATGATACACAAAACATAGAATTGCAATAAGATAAACACTTCATCAACGAGTAATAATGCATTTTCAATCTAGATATTTCAATGGTGTTTTAACCACACGACCACTTCTTGTTTTCACAATCTTCTTGTTCTGAGAAGTATCGTGTTCATTATCAATTTCAGTTTTATTCTGAGTACTATCAGCTGATATTTTCAATGGAATATTGGACTGGTTAGAACTACCAGCACGTGATGCAATATCAACGTTCTCTTTACCCAGCTCGAGTGGAAAAATTCTCTGAATGGGTCTCAATAATTCCCCGGCATGAGTACGAAGACGAGCAACCCTAATACAACCATCCTTACCAGGAAATACCTCCAGAACTCGAGCCAATGGCCAATCCATTCGTTTGGAATCATCATTGCCTATAAGCACAATCTCCCCAACATCAAGTTGTCTTCCTGATGAATTCCCACAATTTCTGTGCCTAAGTTCACCCAAATACTCTAGGCGAAATCTTTTCTTGAGATGATCGGACAACTTTTTTTTATATTGTATTCGTCTATTCAAACTTTCAGAGTCAACAACGTCACAATCAGGAACTCCAATTTCTTTAATATCTTGAATAAAGAATGCCGGTGTCAAAGGAGTTATTGTTTCCGATGAATCAGAGACATACGATATCGGTCTATTATTCATTACTGCCTCACAGTCACATAAAACCGTTGACAACTCCTCATAATTCAGACATGCTCTTCCCAAAACTCGACGTAACAATTGCTTCAACAAACGAATCAACCGCTCCCACCAACCACCCCACCAGGCAGCGGTTGGCGGATTGAATTTCCAGTCAATCCTCTCTGCAGTGCTATATTTAGCTATCTGATCCCAATCTAATTTCCTGAAAGCATTATCAGTTCCTTTAAAATTCGAGCCATTATCGCTATAGACAACTGCAGGTCGACCCCTTCTGGCAATGAATCGACGAAAACCCTGTATAAAAATTTCGGTAGAAAGTGATGACAATATCTCTAAATGCACTGCTCTATACACCCCACATGTGAACAGTGCTATCCATACTTTCTGTTGCCTTTTGAGAAATAACGGACCAGCAAGGTCGATCCCCACAACTTCAAATGCTGCAGCATCTCTCACACGATTTTGAGGTTTTTCTACAGTCCCCCTGACTATTTCACCCAATTTAGAAATCGAATATACTAAAAAATACTAGTCAAATTCTGGTACGGTTTGTTCCATGTTGTTTCTTTTTTGTTCTGGTTCCCATGATAATGGATATCCTGTAATGTTCAGAGAACATCGTGAGAACCAAGGGAAATAAGGTAGGAGTTCATTGTACCAGTATATCACCTGACGAAGATACTGTGTTCGTTGGATGAACGAGTCTTTGGAAAGAGATGTTCTGCAGGTCTCGAAAGTGACCACGAAGGGGTGCGAAGTCTCAACTCAACGGGTTAATATCGCGGGGACTGATATTTCAGAAGAGCATCGTCCATGAAAACATCTATTAAATAGAGCCAGATCGCCAACTTTTTTACGTTTTTCCAGAGGAGTGAGTGAGTTTGTGAGCGAGGCATCACCCACGAGACGAATTGCCCTTTTTTGGACAGAATCCAACAGCTTCAGGGTATGTTTGGGTGCTGCACTCCAAATATGGGAACAGTATTCCAGGACAGGTCGGATCTGTGCCTTATATAGATCATAAGCAGCTGACTGGAAGTGAAATAGATCCTGGCTAGTTTTTGGGATGCACTTTTAGCAATTGATACCACGTGATTTTCCCAAGAAAGGTTATTGCTGATAGTAATACCAAGCATCGAAATGGATGTCTTCTAAGGTATATTTACTCCTGACAAGCTTATGTTTGGCACAGTGAGATCGGCTTTTCTAGAGAAAAGGCATATGCTTGTGTTTTGATTGCATTGAAATATACCAGGTTAGGTGGATCCTCATTCGATAATTGTTTCCAAGTCCATATTTATATTGTCAACATTTCTCCCTCGTTCGTTTCTAATTTGCCTGGCAGGTATTGGAGCCCTGGAAGAGAAGGCGGTATGGAGAGTACTATCATCAGCGAAGCTGTGTACTGGACATGAAGTTGCTTCCAACAAATCGTTGATATTGAGTAGAAATAGTGTTGGTTCTAAAATCGATCCTTGCGGAACACCAGCATTTATGATAAGAAAATCAGATGAAACTACGTCGACCACAACATTGAGATACCTGTTTGAGAGAAAACTAGCTATCAGAGAATATAGCTGGGGAGGCAAGCCATAAGATGGAAGCTTGGCGAGGAGTCCGTGGTGCCAGACTCGATCGAATGCCTTGGAGATATCAAGTGCCACGGCTAAGGTTTCACCATATTTTTCAATAGATTGCTGCCATATATGTGAGACATGAGCGAGCAGGTCACCAGTTGATTTCTGATGACGAAAGCCATATTGCCTATCGTTGATAATACCTGAAACCTGAATGTTCCAGGTATTTCATGAGCTCGATGTTGATAGCTTCCTCCATGATCGTTGAAATAATAGATAGCAGTGCGATCGGTCTGTAGTTGCTAGGTAAGGTCTTTTTGCCTTTTTTAGGAACTGATTGTTTTTTCATGCAATTTTCTAGTTGGACGGGAATATCCCCAATTTGTAAGAGTAGTTGGGCATCACATTCATGCTACACATCACATCCGTGACTCGAAATAATAGTCCCACTGGAATTACAATGACTACTATTCCGGACCCTTTTGGTCATTTTATGATTCACATTATGATGCCATGCAAATGAAACTCTCAGTAGGTATCAAGCGACTCCTCATTCAACATGTTTGTTACATGAATAGAAAATAATGTGAGGTTCCAGTGAGTCCCCAATGATGTTTTCTTGTAATTCGCATTGTTACCTAGCGAGATATGAATGTGACATCCCAGGGATGTTTGTGTTCACTTGGTTTCAATTTCATATTTTCCAAGAATTTTTCGGTCGATTTTCAGGTGCTAAAATCATCAATAATGCCACGGTAATTCTCAAACGGCTACAAATGTACCGCTAGTAAAAACTGATGCCACGATTTCGTAAGTACGGCCAGACCATAGCACAGTTGCCATGTGTTGAAATTCGACTGGGAACTTCAGAAATTTTATAGTTATTCAATAATTCATAAATTTTTGATTGAGTGTTGGTAATATATTTCTAATTAGCAATAAAAATTCAATTGTTTCCAAATGGTTTCTTATATGATTTGTGGTTCATTGCTTATAATAAATTTGTGTAAATAATTATTATATTAAATCACACTAGAGGACATTTGAATCGGTGAACGTGACAACACGGCGCACGACTTGTGGGAGTGGTCATGTGAGTTCTCAGCATTCAGCAAAATGTTGCCAAGTCTCGAAAATTTGCACGATGGATTATAAGAAACATTTTGGACATGCTGATTGCTCGAAAGAGTCAAGAATAAGCTATAATATCATGAGTTCCCCCCATTACATGTTTTATTCAAGGACAGGACTCTAACATTATTTTGATAACTTGATTATGATTGGTGACTTGGCAACCTTCACAGTGGAGTAATTGAATGGCAATCAGTCACTCGCCCATTGTAAAAACTTCACAAACGATAAGATTGACAAAAAAATCTCAATCACACGACATGTTCATTCGCTAACACAGTAGCTTCATCAAGTATGGAATGAAAGAATTCAAAATTATCCCATAACTTTCCTGGTAAAAATAGTCATTTATTATACAAGGGAAAAAAGTAGTAGATTTTAGCTCCAGGTTGTGAGCTAAAATCTAATATTTTTCCCGTGTATATTACACTATTTTTTTCTGTGATAGAAGAAAGGACGAATCAATATTGAGAAGATATTACATTATTTTGAAATCTGAAAATTATCAACGTGAAATTTTAAGTTTTTAACAGTAGGGACACCTGCGTTGTCGGCATCTTCATCATTCTTTTGAAGTCAGTCTTATTCTGTGATTTGATTTAAAAAAATTGCGAATTTAGTGGTTGTTTAGTAATATACGTAACCGCGAAATCGAATGGAAGATAAAAGGACCAGTGGCGGCTCCTCAGAGGAGGCAACGGAGGCTGAGCCTCCTCAGAGATTCTCCTTAAACTGAAATTATCTATACTTTCTCATTAAAAGGACGCCAAAATATAAGGATTTTGATTTTATTACCTGTTTTTAGGTAAATATTTTTGAATTGGCAACAGTGCTTGCCCATTCATCACACGTTGAAGTCTGCAAATCACGCGTAAAATATTTAACTTGGCAACATCTATAGGAGGCTAGACTCCTTCACAACGCGAAACCCATGCGCGCAATGCAAATGCCCGAATTGCACGTGTTTGTCGTGTCGCGTCGCGAATTGCGGACAATCCAGCGCGAGTGCATTGTTTATGTTTATGTTAGGTGAATGGTTAGGGGCTTTATAAATTTCTGAAAAATGAGAGTTTTAAACGATTGCGATTTAGTGGAATACTTTTTGGTGAATCCATCATTCAGCCTCCTCTGTCATGTAAGTCACGAGCCGCCACTGAAAAGGACTTGAAGTTCTTTCTAGGAGACGGTATTATTGACAAATTTTTCGAAATTATAGCACAACAAAAGCCATCAACAGTGTATATATATGTGATATATATCCGGGAAAAAAGTACTAACTTTTTTTCCACGGGAAAAAAGTAATTTATGAAAAGTGACATTTTATAACCTGCCAACAGAGATGAAATGCCAAACTTTTTTCCCGTCACAGAAAAAAAACAATTTAACTGGACTATTGAAGCGGATGGAATTCCAGTAATATTGTGAAGTTTTTTTCCAATATTTACCTAGTATTTTCTTTCTGTGCGTTGGCCTCGTAGGCCTTCTTCAGATGGCACGCGTTCATCCGGAAGTTGAGCCCGCCGTCCGGCTGGGAGTAGTTTTCGGGCAACTCCACCACACACAGGTCTATGGTGGGGAGCAGGAGCGCATCAGAATAAATGGCCGACGTTGAATTTCGGCCGCGAAGTCGATCCAACTCGTTGTATTCTCTGGTTGCGTCGACGACGATCGTTGGGATGGGTTTGGGAGTGGCTGTAAACCAAAGGACAGATTTAGTTTTTTGTTTTTCGTATATGATGCAGAAAGGAATCAGTGACTAGTGCACCCCCATTGATAGATAAACACAGCAATAGTGGTCTAGGGAGACAGAACTAGTTGAGCTCCACAAATGGTAATCCCACAGGAATCAAACGACATATAGAATGATTAGAGAAGGATTGATCAGAAGCAGGCAGGCAGGCAGGCAAAAATTGCCTCAGGATGAATCTAAAACAGAAGATGCATCGAAACACTGGCAAAGTCCCAAAAGGAAGTTTATGCTATCGGCCGCGAAGTCGATCCAACTCGTTGTTCAATATATTGTTCAATATATATAATATAATAATTCAACAGAACATATAACTCGGCAACAAAATCATCTGAAATTACCTTTACCATCGACTACCCTGATCAAAGACTCGGTTATATATAATGGACTGAAGATGTATAACCACCTACCTACCTACGTAAAGGACATTAAAGATCATAAAATATTCAGGAAGAGTCTCAAACAGCTATTTGCTGAAAAGGCTTACTATGAATTAAAGGAATATTATAGTGATGTGTTTTAGTATTCATCTTGGAAATGTGAATCGTTATACCACATGATGATCCTTCTCATGCCATATTTTATCTTTCACATTGTTTTAAATTTTTATTATTGTATGTTACGTACTTATGTTTTATCTTCTCTTTGTCTACAAGAGCTTTTTCTTCTGACAATAAAGAATATTCTGATTCTGATTCTGATTCTGATTCTGATTCTTGTATTCTCTGGTTGGGAGTAATTGTAAACTGAAGGATAGATGGTTTTTTTGTTTTACGTTTATGATGCAGGAAGGAATCAGTGACTAGTGCCATCAAGACCCCCCACTCTTGATAGAGAAACGCAGTAATAGTGGACACAGAACTAGTTGAGCTTCCTCAAATGCTAATCTAACGAGAATTAAGCGACATATAAAATGATTAGAGAAGGATTGATCAGAGGCAGGCAGGCAGGCAGAAATTGCCTCAGGATGACTCTAAAACAGAAGATGGAAGTCAAATAGGAGTCTTCGGGCTTCTTACCATGTACTTCGAAAGCCTGGCAAATTCCCAAAAGGAAGTTCATGCTATAGGGAAATGTAGACAGTTCAATCTAGAAATAAGTCATGAAAGATCAGATATCATATAGAGCAGAGATTAAAACGCTGAGCTCTATGGTTATCCTCTCTGAAATCGTTTGGGAATGCCGGGAAAAACGGAACGAGCTAGCCAACAGGGATACAGCTACCCTTCTTTGATTTCCGGGACATTCCAAAGAAGAGGCAAATGAAGTAGCGTACGAACTCGCTAGGAAAAGGGCTGGGAGTAGTTTTCGGGCAACTCCACCACGCACAGTTCTATGGTGGGGAGCAGGAGCGCATCAGAATAAATGGCCGACGTTGAATTTCGGCCGCGAAGTCGATCCAACTCGTTGTATTCTCTGGTTGCGTCGACGACGATCGTTGGGATGGGTTTGGGAGTGGCTGTAAACCAAAGGAGAGATTTATTTTTTTGTTTTAAGTGAATGATGCAGAAAAGAATCAGTTACTAGTACCATCTAGACCCTCGCCCCCCCCCCCCCCCCCTTGATAGATAAACACAGCAATAGTGGTCTAGGGAGACAGAACTAGTTGAGCTTCCACAAATGCTAATCTCACGAGAATCAGAGGCAGGCGGGCAGGCAGAAATCGCCTCAGGATGACTCTAAACAGAAAATGGAACTCGAATAGGAGTCTACGGGCTTCTTACCATGTACTTCGAAAGACTGGAAAATTCCCAGAAGGAAGTTCATGCTATAGGAAAATGTATACAGTTCAATCTAGAAATAAGTCATGAAAGATCAGATATCATTCTCATGTCCACTAGTAGAGCAGCGATTAAAACGCTGAGCTCTATGGTTATCCTCTCTGAAATCGTTTGGGAATACCGGGAAAGACTGAACGAGCTAGCCAACAGGGATACTGCTACCCTTCTCTATGATTTCCGGGACATTCCAAAGAAGAGGCAAATGAAGTAGCGTACAAACTCGCTAGGAAAAGGGCTGGGAGTAGTTTTTGGGCAACTCCACCACGCACAGATCTATGCTGGGGAGCAGGAGTGCATCAGAATAAAGGGCTGACGTTGAATTTCGGCCGCGAAGTCGATCCAACTCGTTGAATTCTCTGGTTGGTAGTGGTTGTAAACCAATGGAGAGATTGATTTTTTGTTTTACGTATGATGTAGAGTCCGACCACGATAACTTAGGGACAGCACGTGACGGAACGCATATGCAAAGTCAATGCTTACGCGACCACGTGCTGTCCCAAAGTTATCGTGGTCGAACTCTAGGAAGGAGTCAGTGAGGCCTCAACTCAACAGGTCAAGCTCGCGGGGACTGCCAAGGGAGGAACAATTGTTGATATTCCAGAAGAGCATCGTCCATGAAGATATCTATGAAATAGAGCCAGATCGCCAACTTTTCTACGGTGTTCCAGAAAAGTGAGTGAGTTTGTGAGCGAGGCATCACCCACGAGACGAATTGCCCTTTCTTGGACAGAATCCAACAGTTTCAGGGTATGTTTGGGTGCTGCACTCCAAATATAGGAGCAGTATTCCAGGACAGGTCGGATCTGTGCCTTATAGATCGTAAGCAGCTAACTGGAAGTGAAATAGCATAAATCCAGGAAAAGAGCACTGTCAGTGACGTCATATGACGTAAAATTGTCGGCCATTGAACAGATGATGGGGAACAACTTTCTTGCACATTTCCCACAATACCTGGAGCATTCATTTATACATTCATTTAAATTCATTCATCATGAATACTATGAGAAAAGTGAATGAGTCCAATGAAGAGTTCGAACTGGTGTAATTGTGAATTTAAAATTACTGGATTCGCTTGAGTTCACCTCTAATATACCTAAATATACCTCGTAATACACCTCAATAGATACTTAGTTTGCAACAACATATACACATGTTCTCTCGTATAATATCTACAAGTTCAACACAATCACCAATGGATCAGAAATAGTAAAATCAAAATTCACACACAGCTTTGTTTGTCCCCCGATCAGCTGATAAAAACGAATGTTGTGAAGTCAGCTGACACTGATGATCTATTGCCTCAGGAAGAAGTGCAGCTTTGTGAAATAATTCACCATCATGCTGAGCTGTCGAAAAGAATAGAACAGTGAATCCATGGGTATTGAGCTCAAAGAAGGAACCATGAAGTGGTACACATATGGCTCCAAAACCGAATATGGAACTGGAATAGGAGTCTACGGCCTCGTACCAAAAGCCTGGAGGAAGTTCACGCTTTAGAGAAATGTAAACAGTTCAATCTACAAATAATTTATGAAAGACGAGATATCATTCTGATGGCCGATAGCCATTAAAGAGCTGAGGTCTATGGTTATCAGCTCTGAAATGGTTTGGAAATGCCGGAAAAAACTGAACGAGCTAGCCAACAAAAATCCAGTCTTCACCTTCTATGGGTTCCAGGACATTCCGAAGTAGAGGTAAATAAAGAAAGGAGATCAATCACTCTTAGTGGGACCAGAACCTTTTTGCTGGATCAGCTGTATTACATTGTGCCTAAACCTTTGAAGAGTTGTATAGGACAAAAAACATGAAACCCGTTGACTGATTCTCAGAAACCGAGAATTTATAATTGACAATGAGCTCAACAACGAAGTATTAGTTCAACCATGTTCAACAAATAATAGTCGATTTTTTTTCGAAATGTGGACAATGATTTTGAATACAGTTTTTATCATTGTACCACTAAACCAACCAGAATTGAAATGATAACGATCAAGGATCCTGTCAACGTTATCTTTCAGAAGATTGATAAGCATTTATTAATTAATCATATGTTTTTTATCTCTGGATAAACCTATCAACATTAATTCATTCTGATTATTCGTGTACTACGCTACAGTACCAAATTGAACTTGAATTACATGTGTTTTCAGAGGCGTCCCACTTGGACGAAAGGGGGGAAGGAAAGGCGGGGGACATGAAACAGTTCCCATCCCCATCCATATATGACCAATGATATACAGGGTGTCCCTTAATGATATGCTAATATTCAAAGGGCCAATTATATTCGACCCATTTCAAGAATTAAACTCCATAATCCATATGAACATATTTCGTATACGTCCTAGCTTTTGAGATACAGATACATTGACAATGTCGAAAATATGCATAGATTATTTTTTGTCCACTCTGTATCTTTTCGTGATGGCAAAATTCTGCTATGTGACCATGTATCTCAAAAGTTAAGACTTTTAGGAGATACGTTTATATGAAGTTTACTTTTTAAAATGAGTCAAAGAATCATCCCCTCAAATATTAGCATGTCGTCAAGGAACACGACCCTGTATTTTCTGCCGTAACTTAACCCTCATTTTTCAGGACTCATAAAATGAAACCAATATCTCCTTCTTTCATTCATGCAAGACAAAAAAAAAACAGGAAAATTCACAAAAAACATGCATTTTTAATAAAGGCCCTGCTTTGAAAATATTTCGAGAGTAGAAACTCAACAACAAATATTAATTGTTGATGTTTCAGTGTTTTCGTTTCGTGCTATAAAACTCTAGTACAATTTCTACTAACGAATGAGCACGATGTTCTTGAACATCAGAGTAATTTCCTTTCGTGTGCTCCTAGAGATAAAAAAATATATATCGAAACTAAAGATTCTTCACTTCTTTACAAGGAGATAATACTCGATATTTTGAACAAAATATCATGGGAAATGTATCATAATAACCGTTCAACTACATAGAGATTTGGGATCAATATTTCAGTAGCAATATAAAATGGTAACCAATGAATTTCATAGAAATGATATGATAAGCATAGTTTCGACCATTGAGTGTTGATTATTAGGTAGGTTATCAACAAGGGAACAACATTTATTTACATCTTGTGGTATAAAAGTTTTTTTGAAGTATGACAGATTGAGGTTGATTGAATGGCTAGATTAATATAAACTTCTTCTTGGCTTCGCTATCATTATCAGTGATATTAATTTTTATCGGTTAATTCATTCTCATCCAGCCAGATCTAATATCTAATACCAACACCTACTCTACGAGTTAATACTGTTAATGCACACTCACACGCTCCAACCGTGCACGAAGCTCCCTTGAAGTATTTGTCCGCCCTCAGCATGTTGCCCTCCTGGTCCTCCACCTGAACGCCCAGACCTAAGTTCCTCGACTTGGTCCACGCCTTAGCAGCCGGCTTCACGTTCAACTCCACCCATCTGGCGTTCTCGGGGATCACTTTGCTATCGGACAGAACGCGCTTTCCTGAAACAACAAAAATTTTTTTTTATCGCTTGAAGCGCACGAAGGGGAATCCCTATAATGTTCAAAGAACATCGTGCGTTCCTAGGGAGGATAGAGATAGGAGGTAGGTATTGGAATTTTTTTTGAACTTCTGGAGATAATATTATGTTGTTGGGAATACTTTCACAGGCAATGAATTCCAGAGCCTAGCCGTTCTATGAATGAAGGAGTTTTGATAAAGTGCTGTTCGACATCTTTCGAGGTTGACAACGAAAGGATGTGCTGACTGGGCTTGTCTAGTTCGTCTGACTGGTATTGCTAGTGAAGGAATGATAGCAGAGATTTCCGAAGAACATTTCCCGTGGAAGTATCGATAGAAAAGTGAAAGGTCGCCGACCTTTCTACGGTGTTCCAATGATGTCAAAGAGTGAGTGAGTGTGGCGTCACCCACCAGGCGGATGGTTCTTCTCTGGATGGAATCTAAGAGCATCAGCGTATGTTTTGGTGCTGAACCCCATATGTGGGAACAGTATTCTAGAACAGGCCGTATCTGCGCTTTGTAGATCATGAGGAACTGTTGAGGTGTAAAGTAGCTTTTCGCACGGAACAAGAATCCGAGTTTTTGTGAAGCAGCTTTTGCGATGGATCTCACATGATTATCCCATGAAAGAGTGTTGCTGATGGAAATACCGAGCATAGATATGGTGGACTTGGTGGGGATGGTGGTGCCAGACATTACAATGTCGGGCATACTGAGTTCCGCCTTTCTAGAGAAAATACAGGCTTGAGTTTTGGTGGCGTTGAATTCGACTAGGTTGTTGGTTCCCCAGGCTGTGATTTCAGCAAGGTCTCCATTGACAGCATTGACCTGCCTGCGCCGTGAGTTCTTAGTTGCCTGGGGAGAAATGGGAATTCTGGAAGAGAACGCAGTATGGAGGGTACTATCATCTGCAAAGCTGTGGATGGGGCAAGTTGTTACTCCCAACAGATCATTGATATGAAGAAGGAATAATGTTGGTGCCAAAATTGATCCTTGTGGAACGCCGGAATTAATGCCACTTGTATCAGACGATACACCGTCCACCACCACATGAAGCGATCTGCCTGAAAGAAAACTCGATAAGAGATGGCATAGCTGAGGTGGTAAGCCGTATGATGGTAGTTTGTGGAGGAGTCCATCGTGCCAAACCCGATCAAATGCTTTCGATATGTCCAACGCGACAGCTAGAGATTCCCCGTGTTTTTCTAATGAAGCTTGCCATAAATGGGTGACGTAGGCAAGTTGATCTCCAGAATTTCATGTTCAACCAATTACAGACCAATAGCTTTGTCAAGTATTTTTTCCAAAATACTTGAGGAAGTTATAAAAAAGAGAAATGTTGACTTCATCAATGAAGAATATGGGTTTGCCTTGGATCAATTTAGTTTCCAAGAGAAAAGTGCTACACTGTCAGCAAAGAATGAAATGAATATTATTATTATTATCATTTTCTTAATACGGGTGAGTTTATGATGCGAAGTTGAAGTGCTGATTCGCGCCATAATACCTCTCACGAAGCAATTCAATGGACACTGATGAACAAGGGAATGGACAGAACCACATCCAGATGGAAGTACCAAATGCTGGCAACAAGAACTGCTGAAACGAGAGTGTGTGAGAGCGGTTTTCAGATCAGCTCTAGTAGGGGATGCCCACAAGGAGGGGTACTATCACACTTGATGTGGACTCTCGTAGTAGGCGAACAACTCGGAATACTGACCAGAAGTGGAGTCCCTTGCCTTGGATTATGCTGACGGCATAGTCATTATGGCGAACGGAAATTCGAGTTGTGAATCAATTCATCAAAAACCACAGTGGTACGTTCCACCAGAAAAACGAAACGCCAGTATTCGATTTGAGGACTGCCTGTCTCGACGGAGAACACTTAGAATGGCAGCAAGTGAATCGTACAACACGTAGAAGAGATTGTCAGTGAGGCAAAATCACCACTGATGGTGTGCAGAAACATTACAGGAAACTGATGATGAGACCCTTGATCACCTACGGAGCAGTAGTCGTATGACACGGCAGAATCGAATTCGATACAATACAAATTTCAGAGTAGCTGCAAAGATTAACATGTCTTTACATTACGGAGCAATGAGGTCAACTCCGACAGCAGCACTAGAGGTCATTTTGGACCTCACATCTCTCCTCATCATGGTGAGGACAAGTACTTGGGGAACACATTCCAGGTTGAAGAAGTCCGGGCTCAGAGGGAATGTATACAGTGCAAGGGATTCACTGTCCACTGAAAGTGCAGACCTTGCCGATCTCCCAACTGATGGATTTCAATTTTCAGCTCAATTTTGAGAAGAATGTTCGAATGGAACAAAGAACCTATCAGAAGTGAATGGAGCCCTGGTGCAACTCAGTTCAACCTCAACAGATAATACTGGAACAAGAAAATGGTTATCCTATCCGACAGCCAATAAGCAGCGATGGAAGTGTTGAGCTTTTCCAACGTCAACTCAATGATTGTTTAAGAGTGCATAGAAAAACTCAACAACCTAGATAGGGACAAGATGGTAATCCTCTTCTGGGTGCCAGGGCACATTGGAGTGGATGGATATGAACCAGAAGACAGTCTGGCATGAAAAGGAGCATCAACGCCATCGAACCAGAACCATCCTGCGGCCTTGAGAATTCTTATTTTTCAAGAAGAATTTGATACTGCTGACCAAGCAATGGGAGCAAAACACTGGCGAAGACTTCCAGGACTATACGGCAGGACAAAGAACTCCTCCGTTATTTCCACCGAACAAAATCGAAAATACTGATGATTAACTCCAACAAAATAAGTCTCAGGGCAATAATAGAAGGAAGAATAGAAGGAAGCTATGCTTAGAGAAGGACAGGACACTCCACCATCCCTGCATCCCGTATGCATATCAAGTTCATGAAATAAATATCTTGTACGAGGGAGTACAAGAATAATTGAGGGAATACAATATTTCTACTACCTTCATAATGATGTTAGTCACTCCAATATGAATTCCCTAAATATCCAAAGAGATAAAATTTCCAATCACAATTACCTCTTCTCCTTTTTAACGGCTTGGTGTACCGATATATCGAAACCCTCAACAATTTGTCTTCTTCTGTAGCATTTGAGGTCTCGCAGTCACCTGTCGTGGAACTGAATTTGGTGCCGTTTTTGGGCAGTTTATAGAGCCGTAACGTGGCACTGGCTATGTTCGTACTTCGGGAATCGAGCATGGAGTCGAAATTGAAGAAGAGGTTCATTATTTCGTCGTCCTTCCAGAGTTCTTGGTCGGTATTGGCGGGTATCTCACCTAGAAAAAATATGTATCAATGAGCAACACTTTTTTGTTCTGAAATTGTTCTTATCCATCATTCGGTTGCCCCCTTATGAGCAACCCTCAGAAGTCTTACAATTTAACGTGTGATCCCAAACACTTTCTGAGGCCATCAGAAAAATTTCTGCGGTGGATATAACATTATTGACGCTTTAACCACGAGGCTACGCTGGCCATCCAATTACTTTGTTAGATATAGGGTGTTTCGTTAGGATAGGAAAAATAATGTCATCTGTGGACGAGGGACGACTTCGAATAACCCATACTTGATGGATCTCTAGGCTTTGTATAACCATGAAATTTGAGAGAGTCACATATAGAGTCACATAGACAAGGAAAAGAGAATGTATCATATTGAATTCCATCACAATCTTCCAATTCCATGACTCTTCATAAATAACACCTGTTTGAAAACGCATCAACCGATTTTAACGTTCTATTGAAAATAACAATCAAGTGCACGTAAAATTATAAAAAGAATCAATAACATTTTGAATATGTAGTTGGACGCTGGAGAGATATGGTCCCATCGGGCATGCTTTCTATCAAGGTATTTGTAAAATTTTGGGGGGTATTCACGAATTCATCAAAATTTTCAATTCCACCCTCTCCTTCTTTCATCTTTAATTTCATTTTACTTCATACATGCTCACTCGGATTCATTTCAGGAGGCAAGGGTGGCCGATTTATTCTCTCAATGTCATGTTTCTTCAAAATTACAGTGATAATAATACTTCTTTGAAATGTTTGCAGAACCCAAATGATTGACAATTATTATATTCAACAAACACAGATATACAGTATGTTGATGAATGAATGTATGAATGAATGATGGAAGTTGTATATTGAAACAAGCTCGAGAATCAGTGACATAAATGTTTTCTGAGGACCACCCTCTATATCAATGAATATGTTGATGAAATTAGCAAAAAATCCTACCAATCGGGAGATCTTTGAAAAACTGCATAGTTTTAATTTGAAGGTCAATGAAACGAAATTTTTTTACACCTTGACACGTGTTTCGCTAACTATGTTAGCATCTTCAGGAGAAGATTAAAACAGGTTCCAGTCGTCGATATACACAGAAAATGAAAAGAAAATCGGCTGACAGTTGAAAATCATGATCAATCAAAATTGATAGAAAAATTTAGATTTTACGTTTCCAGTGTTGAGCAGTTTATTTCAGATTTCAACATCAAAAATGTAGACTATAAGTGTAACTGAATCACAATTCAAACTTTCTCATCGTTGAACACGTATTTTGAATGTCCTTTGCGGACTGGAAAATTGAAAAAAAAATATCAAAAGAAAAAAATGTACTCACAGGAAGGGTAGAAACTCCTCATCTTCTCAGTGATTTCATCATCATCCGATGAGTTCTGATTGAACAAACTTGGGAACAATTCAGAAATGTTCAGCTGGGAAGGTCCTGCGATATCCCCTGCAGGTTTGATCGCCGAGGCATTCCTTCCCAAATATTGAAGAATTTTATTTTTCAATTCACGTATGCTGTTTTCTCTAGACCTGCAAAAACAATAAGATCTATTTTCATCAAGAAAGATAAAGTTGAAAAGCAAAAAAATCATCAAGCAAAACAACTGAACTTATTCATGTTTTATCTCACGGATAAAAAAGCTACAGTCAAATGGCAAGACGGTGTATCTGACTTTGTAACAACAGAGCACGGAGTACCTCAGGAATCAGTTTTAGGACCTGTACTTTTCATTATCTATGTCAATGATTTGATGTTCAACTTAGTTCATGTTAGTGAAGGTATACATCCTTTTGGGTATGCTGATGACGTGTCTATAATTCACTGTGATCAAAATGAAAAAACCCTCAATGACAAAATGTCCAACACTAAACAAATCTCAATGATAGAAAAACTCAATCAAGTACTGAATTTCAAGTTGAACAATATGGTTCGGTTCAGAAGGAAACGTGGTTAAATTGCTTGGGGTAGCAACATCACCCTATATAGGGTGGACCAATAGTGTGACAAAGAGAGATAGCAACTCTGCTATTAGAGATAGAAGAACAAATTTTTCACAGGAGTTGTAAGTCCAAGAGATGCATATTTTGAAATCATTCTCCATTCTACAGTGTGTCTCAAAAAAGTGTGACATATCAAATTGTTTTCGTAAATGGAACACTCTGTTTTTTATTGCATATTTATATTCTCTCTGAAGAACTAAATTCAACGATCTAGCACACTTGGTTCTGGCAAAATGATTACCGAGATATAGGGTGTGGAAATTCGAGATTTTTCAACTTTGGGAATTTTTTGTGACCAAACTATTCATTATTGGTCGAAACGACTTTCAGATCCCTATCTCAATTTACTGATATTTAATAGAAATAAATACAGGGTGGTGTAGAATTCTGAGTTCTGCACCACGTTGTATCTGTTCCAATAAAATATGAGTAGATAGTAAATCAGAGAGAATATGAAAATGCAATAAAATACAGGGTGTTCCATTTAGAAAAACATAACTTTGATATGTCACACTTTTTTGAGACACACTGTATAATGGAGGATAATTTGAAATATGCATCTCTTGGACCTACAACTCCTGTGAAAATTTTGTTCTTCCATCTCTGATAGGAGAGCTGCTATCTCGCTTTGTCACACTATTGGTCCACCCTGTATATTGAGACGGCTGAAGGGTAAACTGACTGATGAATATCTCAGAGGGTCTTATTTCTCAATATTTCATTCAGTAATGAAATATGCCTTGATAGTGTAGGGTGCATCAACTCATTCTACAAAAATTTTCATTTTACAAAAAAAAGTTCTAAGGATAATGACAGGAGCAAAATTTCAACACTAGCCTCATGCTTCGTATACGAATGTCTCATTCACATGAAGAAAGAAATGTCTGATACTCGATCTGGAATAACTCGAAATGAAGATATACATAGGTAATACAAGAGAAAAGAAGAATATAAGATTACCGAAACCATGAATTTCAAAAACCAAATCTCGCCATGAAATTTTTCAATGTTCTTCCAGACGAACTCAGAGGTCGATCTATGAGTTTACAGGAATTCAAGAATCCAGTCAAAAATATTCTAATCGAAGAAAGTTTTTACACATTTTATGAATATCTAGTATTTTTTTCACGTCGAAACTAAACTTCAAACCATTTTGTCATTGTTTCATTTTTTCATTTTATTTATTTATTGACGTAGGTATAAACACTATTGTGTAGTAACATGAAAAAATATACCTATCTATCTATCTATCAATGATTGCATTAGTAGGTAGAAAGTGAAAAACTCCAAAACTAATATCAAATCGATCTGAAATAAACGTTAGATACTGAAAACATTGCAATATTTGAATAATTGGCGAATGCGCTACTCTTGCTACAGCTTGCTATAAAGAAAATTTAAAAAAACCTGAGCTGAAAATTTGGGTGTACAATGATTATTTATCGCCCTGTGAGATAGTTAGGGTGTCGATTTTCGAGAATCATTGCAAAACGAAGCAGTTTGCCCGTTGTGTCGACATTTTCAGAAAATTTCACATACGAACCTCTGACATTACAGTAAAGGTCATTACACCTCTACTAGTCTAGACGAAGATAATAAAAACACTATATATGCAGTTGTTTAATTACTAATAACAGATTTGTTAGGTATAAATATGTCGAAATGAAATACCTACGCTATAATATTAAATGCGGAAGTTAGAGTCTAAAGCTAGCCATACAGTATATACAAAGTTGAAGATTCTTATAGCTGTGTTCGAGAGATTCGGAAATGGTAATGTTCCATGGAAATCGTGCAATTGAGAAATATTCCACAAACAAAACAAACAAAATAAAAAAAGGTGATTCAATGTCTATTGAAAATTATCGGCCTGTAACAGTTCCAACAGTATTATGTAAAATAATCTATGTTTATGTGAAAATGCTGGCGTTCCTAGAAAAATTCCATATGAACTGGGCGTCAATTGAAACGTTAATAGTGAAATTTGGCATCAAGTTTGACTTCTTGTAATTTCTAAAATATTGAACGAATTTTGAATTGCCGCCCAGATTCTGAATGTCTTTTTCATCGTCTTTCGAACCGTTCCTTACAGCTTCTTCTAAATTGATCAGGATCCATGATACAGGGTGAAACAAAGTTACGTGCATTTGGAAAAAAATTTCTCCGCCCCCCCATTTTGTCGGAAGACCACGATGCTCATATTTTATTCAGGCATTTCATAAATAGCAACCATACCTCGAGACGTTTTCGAGTGTTTGCCAAAAACTACTGTGGTTTCCGAAAAAAAAATTTTTTTAGCATTTTTTTTAATGGACTAATTACCTGTATCACCAAAACGATGGATCAGTCTCTTTATTGTCATGACTGACTTATTGAAAATGGTACAAATGAGTTTGGGTATATCCTAATCGTCGTAACCTGAAATAATAATTATCTGTACTGAATATAGTGATCTTACCTAATGATATTTTCCATTTCTACCCGATTTGAACGAGGCATCTTTAAATTATTTAGGACCCGAATAACACTGACGTTTTCATGAAAATTGGCAATTGATATAACCTCTATGCAAACCTACATTGTTTCAACAATACGCTGTTATAAAAACAAGGTATCCTTGTTTGTATTTGTTGATGAGATGTGTTGATTTACTGCTCACTAAGGTAGAAAACTTTCATCATAGACTGCGAAGTAATAAATTATTGATTGTTTTTGAGTAACCTGGTATACATATCTGCTCCAACGATTTCCTGCATAAAAGCATCCATTTCTGGAACTTCTCTAAAATTAGTCCATTTAAAAAAAATGCAAAAAAAATTTTTTTTTCGGAAACCACAGTAGTTTTTGGCAGAAACTCGAAAACGTCCCGAGGTATGGTTGCTATTTATGAAATGTCTGAATAAAATATTAGCATTGTGGTCTTCTGACAAAATGGGGGGGGCGGAGAAATTTTTTTCAAAATGCACGAAACTTTGTTTCACCCTGTATCACGGGTCCTGATCAATTTAGAAGAAGCTGTAAGGAACGGTTCGAAAAACGATGAAAAAGGCATTCAGAATCTGGGCGGCAATTCAAAATTCGTTCAATATTTTAGAAATTACGAGAAGTCAAACTTGATGCCAAATATCACTATTAACGTTTCAATTGACGCCCAGTTTAATAACCAAATTCCAGCATGGGTGCTGCCCAGGTAAGTCAACGGAAAGTGCATTTCAAAACAGAATGATGCGAAGTCACAAGTTGAACGAAAGGGTCAGTATCGAATATTTCTGCCTCGGCCAAGAAATACTTCTTGGTAAAGACGGCCTATATACTCAAAATAAGAGACCTTATGTCAATTTAGTGCAGGTCTTCCCAAATTTGACTCAGTCTCTGCCATTCTTCTTCTGAAGTATTCAAGATACGATCTGATTGTAATCTCGTCCTAATAATGTCCCAGAGATTCTCAATGGGATTTGATTCCGGGCTCCGAGCTGGCCATGCTATGGTAGCGATACCGACTTCCTCTAGATAATTTCTCACAACTCCAGCGACGTGAGGCCTGGCATATCTTGCATCAACAAAAATCTGTACACTCTGTGTGTTCAAAAATCCACAATATGTACTTTTCAGCTGTGACGCTTCTATTAATGATCACAAGTTCAATGCGACCAGTCAGAGAAAAGAAATGTCTCCCAGACCATAGCCTGCTACTTACGTACAGTCAAATGCAAAGAACATGTCGCACTTGGATGCTGTTAGCGCTCTTATTGCAGAAGTCTTCGTCTTCTTCTCTCGCTGCCTCATGTGATACCTCAAGAAACACGATTCGAATGCCAAATTTATTGTAAAAAACTATTCAGATCCTTGGTAAACAAATAAGAAAAGTGATGTTGTTTTATCTCCAGAGTCGGTCATCTGTCAAATGTGGACGAGACCTATTCAAATGGTGTTTTTCGAAGTATTACAGCATATATTGTCAGAAAAAAAGATGCATTTATGTTATGCTCATTCAAATGGATTTTTTCTAGCCAGTGGTTTGCCTATTGCAGAACATTCCACTCCAGACATAATGATCATTCTATTCTCATTATATTGAAATACTAGCAGACCTCGCAAACGTTGTTTTGCTGTATACATTATTTCTATAATATATTTTTCCAGTTCAATATTAATCAAGATATTATTATTATTTTATTTTCTACTTCTTTTTAGTTTCGCTATCTATAAAAGCGTGTTTTTTTAGTTTTTCAAGCTACCATTCATCTCATCTTCTCTTTAGTTCACTTGAATTTCCCAATTTTGACGAAAAAATCATAATATCCGACTCCTAAAACCCCAGATGAAAATTTTTAATAAAATCGGAACATAATTACTAAACTCGTCCGGAATATTGGATCTATCATCTTGAATTCTCTAATTTTGACGAAGGAATCATAATTTTTGATCCCGAAAACGCCAACTTACGAATTTTGAAAAGAATCGGATTATAATTACAAACCTCGTCCGGTAGGTGTATTGGTTCCATCGTCTTGAATTTCCAAAACCCG